ATGGTAAGAATCCATGGAAACTACCAACGACAATTAAACTTAATGTTCTCGAAGCTATTAAATACGTTCTTTTCAAAGAAACATGCCCATCGATTGTCAGCTGCTAGAAATACATTGTGATTTATAAATATGTAAATTGAAACCCCAAGTGTATTTCCTTGTCGATGTATATGATTCAATGTCAGATAGTGTTTTGATAATTTTTCTCTTGTAATTTTGTGAAATTATTTTAAAAGTTATTTGTATACAGAGATAAATATATTAGTATAAATAAAGTGAGTCAACGTTTTATTTTGGTGAAAGAAAGTTAATTATCCATCAACTTAATTTAAAATTATTTCCTTTGCCGGTGAAGCTATTGAACTAAACAAATAGAGATAAAAATGAGAGAGTATATAAAGCATGATTGCAATGTAAATTTTTCATCAAGTTCTCAATTTTCGTAAATATTTTCTATCCTGTATGATGCTTCGTATATTTAAATATGAGTTCTTTGCTTTTTTTATGATAATTCTTGATCAATAAACAACTAGTCACGTCAACGAAATATAATCGCAATATCAGGTACACGTGTCTTATAGAATTAATGAACGATGAAGTGATGTTGCAACTCTTCTTAAAAATGATCTGATTTCTTGACAGAAGTCAACATCACGAGCTCCTGTGAAAAGAAGATATTCGATAATTAATTAAATTACACTATCGATTTTATCATTTTATGATTATCGCTGCATTACAGTCTGAGTTTTCATACGTGAAGTCACATTTAAAGAGATATTCATCCTAAAGAATAAGATGAACATATGTCACTCAATCGATTCAAAAGAAAGAAAAAAAAGTATGAAAGATACAAATGGTAAGAGGTCGCTTGCATGTGTAACTATTGATAGGGTGTTTTGGTTGGTTCGTTGTGTTACCTATATTCATTCTTTGCAATGCTCTAATACGTTGTCGTTCTATCTTGGACCTTTTGTCACATTCCAGCTGACTCTCTTTTTTAACATAAAATCTATGTGATAATTTAGATAACAAAGTATACATTGCTTTGGAATAAGATACTATCTATAGGTGGTAAGAATATATCATGTTAAATCGAAACATAACTTCACTTATACTGTATTATATAGTTTAAACCCACTATATAGTCGATTCTTTTTTGAGCAAGATTGCACATAGATGTCGGTTGTAGGAAGTACATTCGGTATTAAACGCAAAAAAAGAAGCACCATTGAATACAATGCAAATTGTACTAAAAATAAAAGCGCTCAGGTCACGGATGATTGTTTAAAGTTACTTTCTTTCTCATCTATCTACTGAGATGAATATCTGAACTTGTGTATCCTAAGAATATGTAAATACTGATTATTGATCAGGATTTGTCATGATATACTATTTTTTAAATATTGTTTTAGATTTCTATTGAAAACTTTCAATAGTTGATAAAATGCGATCCCGTTTTACTTTTCTTTTTCGTCGAAAACTTAAACTTCAAATTATTACAACTAGTTTAACTGGAGGATTAGTTGCAGGTAGGATCATCAATAAATAAATAATGTTCTTTTTCTATGAGCCTCCATTCTTTTCTTTTTTTATAAGGTTATATATTTTCAAAATATAAACCTATCGTTCGTGCAGAAGCTGACATATCTGTCAAAGTTGGAGAACGAATATCAACATTACCAACTTACAGTATGACTGAAGTTGCAAAACATACAACAGCAGAGAAAGGTATGAAATAAATGTTTGCTCAAAATTGAAAGATTTTATGCTTTCTGTCAATGAAGTATCTTTGAAATATGTAGTCATTTCTATATAATCTTCCGGTAGCAGCGCCTACTTTGAAGATATCGGAATTCCAAATCGTATTTCGATCTCCATCTTTGCTAAAGCATTGCTATTCTCTATTGGTGTTTTTCTAGGTTATTGGCTTGCTTATAAAGATGGTGTCTATGATATAACTTCATATGTTGAAAATCATCCAGGTGGTAAAATGGTTCTTCGATCTGCTGGTAAAGCTTTAGAGGCTTGTTGGAAAATTTTTACTATGCACGATATGGATCATGTTTATGAAATCTTAGAAGAATATCGAATAGGAAATTTGCCACCAGGTATAAAATAATAGGAAAAGCTCTACTTTTCGATAAAGAAAATCATTTTCTAGGTGAAAGAGAAGTGAATCAACGTGAACAAGAAAAAATTACTGATTTATTTCAATATGATCCTGAACGGTTAAATATAAAAGAAAACTTTTTCGTTCGTTCAAAAAGACCGTTCAATGCTGAAACAAAACCTTCTGTTCTCGTTTCATCATTTATAACGCCAGTTGAGCAATTTTTCGTACGAAACCATATGCATGTACCATTTGTTAATATCAACGAATATAAATTAGAAATTGGTAATGGAAAATCAACTCATTCACTTTCATTTGATGATCTAACAGAAAAGTATCAGTCACATACAATAACATCAACATTAGCATGCTCTGGTAATCGTCGTGGTGCGATGAATAATGACGAACAAGGAACAATCAGAGGTGCACCATGGTACGTTGGGGCTATTGGAAATGCTCGTTGGACAGGTGTTAGGTTACGTGATGTTTTGCAATCGTTGGGTCTTGATAAAGAAGGAAAATATGTACAGTTCTATGGTCTTGATTGTGAAACACCAAAAAGGTAAAAACTTTCGAAAAATTCTTTTTATAAGCGATAAACATTGATTTTTATTTCTAAAGATGCTATGGCGGATCTATTCCAATAGAAAAAGCATTGAGTGATGATGTATTAATTGCATACGAAATGAACAATGAATCATTAACTCGAGATCATGGCTATCCATTACGTATAATTGTGCCGGGTTCAATTGGAGCACGTAGCGTTAAATGGGTCAATCGAATTGTTGTTTCCGATAAAGAATCCGATAGTCCTTGGCAAATATTTGATTATAAACTTCTACCAACATCTGTAAAACAACCACAAAAATCTGATTATGATGCTGCACCGGCTATACAAGATTTAAATGTTAACTCAGCTATTTGTTATCCGTCGTCGAATGAAGATGGAAATAAAGTTAAAATTCTATCGGTTCAACCAAATCATAATGATATTAAAAATAAAAAACTAACAATAAAAGGCTATGCTTTAAGTGGAGGTGGAAAACAAATACAAAATGTACAAGTTAGTCTTGATCATGGGTGAGTATGACACAAAGTTCGATGAAAGATCCAATTTAAGCTCTATTGGATCTAGTAGATAAATGAAAAAAGGTCATTGAAATCTTCGGTTAAATTCTAACATATTTAGTTGTATGTTGAATTAAATTATTCTCGTAGAACAAGATAACCTATTTAAAGATCCATCATCATCTACTGTATGAGAAAAACACAATTTTTAATTATTTTAGAAAAACATGGCTACAAGCAGAACTTGAACAACTCGCAGAGCCTCATATGCGCGCATGGGCATGGACTCTATGGACTTATCATATACCATTTGATGATTTACCTTCGAAGCCATTTGATATTATTTGCCGTGCAACGGATACAAATGCGAATAGTCAACCTGAGAGTCCAGTAGGCATATGGAATGTTTTAGGTCATATGAATAATGCTTGGCATAAAATAACTTTACAAATCGATGAAAAGTGTCTTAAAAAGGGTTCATGAATACAAGTAAATTTCTATAACAACATATGGAGTCTCAATGTTTTTATATGTCGATCAGTGATATGATTTGCTTCTTTTTATTGTTGCTAATTGGATTGTGTGTACATCATTGTTTAGAAAAGTGAAGAATCTTTTAATAAATCTATGTTTAATTATCATTTAGGGTAAAATATATAAATATGATCGCTTTTTTGTGTGCACCTTCGGACAAGGGCATAGACGTCTGTGCTCAGATTGTCTCTTCACACCCTCCTCACCTTAAACTAAAACAACAATGATAAATAAAAGTTAGTTTCTTCTTATAAATAATGACGAATACTGTCATTTATAATAATAAAAACGCCAAGACGAAAAAATAATAATATTTATGTTTTTATAGTAACTTGGGCTCTTATTTCTGAACATATACGATATTTCCTCTTGTTCAATTCGATCGAAAATTGAACAGCTTCCATTCCATGCTACAGCTGAGAAATCTTGATACGGTGTTATATAAAAATATCTTAGCTTCGATGAATCATAATAAGGCCATTGATTTAATGGTTTTCCTGTGGTAGTTGTATTGATCCGATGCGAAATGACTTGATTTGAAAATATTTGTGATTGATGGGTGTGGATGTGGGTGTTGCTTTAGAAAAGGGAGATTCTCACACTCGCACCCACACCCGAATCGAATCGAATGGCATTTTTGCATTCGTTTCGGTCTCTGATTCCTAAACAATAACAATTAATTTTCATTACACAATCTCGTAGATTTTCTATTTTATATATAATCTATTGTATAAGCCTTCAATACTTGGAAAGTTTGAAACAAAGTAAACCTAATTTTGATTTGTAGTACATTCAATTTATTTTTCTCAAAATAGATTGCCAAATAAATTTAAATAATTTTGTGTTATTCGAATATTGTTTGAAACAGTCTGGTGTTATAAATATTGCTGTACAATAATCAAAACAGTTTCTTCAATATCACATTTTTAAAGACTTATTTGAAATAATAAATAAAAGTGGTATGTTACTTTATTTATCTAGAAAGAAACAATCAGATAAAAAGATTTGTTTTTAGAAAAGAATTATTTTAAAAAGTTCGTATTGATGCAGAATATAAATGATCATGCATTAATTGAATTGTAAATGACTGAAATGTGTGTGTCAGATAACATCACATTATAACTATGGAGTAAATTTATCAAAATTTGATTCATATGTGATTAAACTATTTTGATTATTTTCGAAAGTTCTTTCAAGTTTTTTGTTTCTTTTTAAAAAAAAATTGTTTCTTTCACTAGACGTACAATATAGGTAAAAGAGATTTCGAAATATTTCATCGAATAGTTGTTCATTTTCTTGAATAACTTGTCTCATAATGTCTTCATCAATAGGTATGTATGTTCAATTTTCTAATTATTTTATTTATATTTAGTAAATTAGATCTTCGGAATTGATCATATATCAAGAACATTAAATGAAAATAAATATCTGGAATTTTTTGATGTTTATAATGAACATTCTCATGTGTGAAAATAACAAAATATTCATAATTTTCTTTTAGAATTATACTTTCTTATAATACGAAACAATTTGTTGTTAAAATTGAGAAAAATTAGCATCGTAGAAAATTCTTTGTTGAAAGTAAATTAAATTCAGTTTTGTTTTAATTATGTCGTATGTCATTTGCTACTCGTTTAAATTTATTATGATTTCATTCTCACTGCGCATTGTCAGAATAAAAAGAATGAAAGTAAGAAATATTGCTCATTGTATTTTACGCCGAGTAAGTAGAGATGTCTTTTTTAACGAGCTTCATCTTAATGAAATAAGAAAATATATCAAGTCTTTCCTCCGAAAAGTTGAATAAAATTGTGTAATAATATTATCTGAACGATAAGAACATTTCACCTTTTTTTTTATTTAGTACTACTTTATTTGAAAGTCATTTTATGAGAATAAAATAGCTATCTGCCTTACACGATTTAATATATTATCATTATTTTACTTTAAAGATCAAAATAGGAATAAACTTTTATTACATCAAATTTTTTATATCTAGTTTTCGCGTTGAAAAAAGAAAACGTTAACATTGGTGAGAGTTGCCTTATAACAATTTTATTACTTGAATGTCGCTTGAAATATTTAAAAAAAACTTTGAATAGACAATACTTTGGAATCTTTTTCACCTGAAAATCTATGTAAGTGTTAGCTTTAATTTAAAACTAATTTACAGTTCGATATGGATACGACTTTTCATAAGCAATTTGGGTCGGTTTCAGTTGACAAACAAAGAATATGTAGCATACTATTAATGGGTATTTCTGAAACATTACGTGTCCAATTTCTTGGATTGAAATGCGCTATTGTCTCATAATTTACCCAGAAAGTCTTACACATTTACCTTACAATTTGCGTAATTATCCTGTTTTCTTGGTAAAAAATAGCTTATGTGTCTAGGCAACGATTTTTTTCGCATACTCATCTTCGTTTACGTAAATAACCATTAGCATTTACATTTACTCTCAATAAACATGAACTAGAGACAGTTCTTTTTCTAGCCACAGATCGACTATTTGTTAGATAAGACAGTATTTTTATACCATCATCAGATAATAACTTTCCTACAATATCTTTTGCATTGCATCAAGATTTTGTGGCAAGGAATAGAATGTTTTGCTTGTGATGAATCCTATAATGAACAATGAGAATTTATTATTATACTCTTTCTTTTTTACAATGTAGTGAGATGTATCCGATATAATAACGAGACGATTGCAACGAAAGTTTCTACTGCATAATAAAAAGTTTTACAGCGCTTTACACCTAAATGAAGATTAATTTTAATCAAAAATAAAGATATAATGTGTAACATGTTATTTTAGATCGACAAATTTGTAGAAATATTTTTCATTATGTCTAATGCTATAATACCAATTGATACTTCTTCTATTTCCTCAACAAACATGTCTGAATCTTATTGGGATACTCAGGTGAGTTTACTTGTATAAATCTTCTTTTTCCGTGTATCCAATGACAGATGTTTTATTGTTATTTACCTCGTACAAAATTTATAATATTTTCTTTTTGAATTGTCAGCGTCGTTTGGCAATGGAAAAAAAGTTTGGAGATATTGTCGGATATGTTCTTGGAGCTGCAGTCGGTTTCTTCATCACGGGACTTTCTTTTTACACAGTATATCATTTGTGGGTACGATGCAATAGTTATCTTATTACTTCTCTTACTTCAACGATAATTTTTGATGTTTCTTAGAAAAAGGAGCCCGTGATTGGTCTTATAATTTTGATATTTGTTATCGCTTTAATAATGTGCGGAATGGCTATTCGCTTTTCGGTTATGACTATTCAAGTTCTTATTGAGAAGTGGCATCATCAGTATCACCTTCCAGAACCTATCAAATATAACAGTTTGTCTCGTTCTGCAAATAACAAATGGTGGTCGTCAAATCGATATATTCACAAGTTAAAGATGATGAGTGGAGTTTCCATCCAAGAAAACCATCAGTTAAATATTTAATTTATCTTCAAACCTTAGATATGTAACATTGTCCTGTTACATATCAGTGCTGATTTGTTTCTTAGATAATCTTGCTTTTCTCGAAGCACTTCGTGTATATTTGTTTGTCTATTCTATTATAATTGTATACTAGTTCATTGCTTCATTAATGAAATTGTCTCTATATGTTAATTGTATAAATACATTCGTGTCAAATGCCTCAACATATTTTGTTTATATCATAGACAGGGATGTATCTAATGTAGGCTATTCGAGAGACGATCTCTTTTTTTCAAAATAGACGATGATGCTCAAATGAGAGGCGGACGATTCAAGAAAAGATTTACTTATAGGTGTGGGTATCTCGATATATATGTGGATGTTTATCTTCTCTTTACTACACCCACGCCCACACCAACACCCGTGTTCTTATTGAATTTTCTAACCTTCGGAAAAATACATTTTTATGAAAAAAAGCAAAAACAAACGAGTTGATAGAAAATCGTAGTAGAGATTCGTCTAGAATACGTATTATCCCCAAATAATTAAATTTAACTCCTGAATCTTTCGCAGTTTGTAGATCATCGATCAGTGGTTTGAATGTGAACCTGATTATTGAAAATTCACTGTAAACAACTCACGAGATAGGTTTGTTTTTTAAAAGGTCAACTAAGAACCTTACAAAAAATAGGTTAGAAAAATCAGTAAAATATGGTGCGATGCGTCTTCATCTTCTCTTTTCAATGGTGAAAACCGTACTTCTGTAACATGTTGCTATTAAATGTTATTCAAAAAATACTCACGAGCATTCATGCTCATACTACCAGCACATATCCGAAAGAAACAGATCTTATCGAAATTTTACTATTATGATATTAGTTGAATAGTGATCAAATAGCATAGAAAGATAGAGTGACAAACGCTCTATCTATTCGTAAAAATGGATTTTTTTAAATAGCTATTTATAAAAAGAACAAGGGCCTCCGACACTACTTTTGGATAACCCTAAGTACATGTTATTTCTCTACCTCATTGTTATTTCCGATCTGTGATTTTGAAGGAAGTCTTTTAAAATATGGCCACGGGATCACAGCAGTTAAGAGAAGATAGATTTTCTTCTGCAATCAAACCAACAGCGCCGAGATCATTCGCTCAGCATAACACTGCAAATAGTGGATTTATTAGTCGATGGCTTGAGAGAAATAATGGAGCAGGAATGGCAGTGTGGAATTCTAGTTTAGCGGTTGAACAGGTTGTTAAAGGTACCATTTTTGCTTCTTCAATTACAGTTAAATTATGTAACTTTACGTTTTTGCGTAAAACAATTTAGGCATTACGCTTGAAGCCAAAGCCTTGAATAAAAAAGCAGAAGAAGAAGCGCAAAATATATCTCGTCAACTGCTAAGTGTTAAAAACAAAACGCAGGAAGAAATAAAAACCTGCTGTATGCGCATTTACACACGGGAGACGTTTCTATACAAGCTACTTAACACAGTTTTAAGGAACGAAGATATGAGCAAAGTCGATACTCTCGGTGCCTATTGCTGGCTGGTAGATAGTGGGATAAGTCCCGAATTAGGTGAAAATCAGGCATGTGATTTAACTGTTTACCGTGGGATGAATCTTACACAAAACATGATTCAAAAATACAAACAAGCAATTGGTAAAACAATTGAATGGTTAGGTTTTATATCAACAACGAAAAATCGTACCAAAGCTGCACAATTCGGCACAACGCTATTTATAATTCATATTAGCGTACAATATTATGATGACTACGGAAGTTGTCATCGAGATATTTCGTCGCTTTCGGATTATCCAAACGAAGAAGAAGTACTTTTATCACCTAGCCATCGCTTTAAGGTTGACCGAGTGCAGCGCGATTCGAACAGTGGAAAGCATACAATTTACCTTTCTTACAGTCCAGAAGACGGTGATTTTTTTGAAGATGCAGAAACTATCGCAGGCCTTCAGGAATGAATCAAACTTATATTCATAGTTCATAGTTCACTGATTTTGATCGTAATGACAAAATAATTCTTAACCGTTCGACGAGATCCACAGCACTGCATTGCGTTTGTTGCTTTCTTAGTAGTTACGCTTTTCAGAGTGATTCTTTTTTCTAACCATTAAAGCTTGGGTTTAGTGTGAAGGTGAGGAAGGATGTAGAGAAAGGCAACTACACAGAGTATCACACTCACACCCTAATGTTCTATTTACTTCCTTTTAAAAGGTGTCATCACCTGATCGTTAGCAATTGAGGAAACAAATTGTATAACAACAATAATAGTATCAAGCACGAACCAATAATTTACAATAGAGACAAGAGTGATTACCTTGAATTTGGTCGAAAATTAAACAGACGATATAAAGCTTGAAAAATAAGTATGTCGAAAATGATATTTTATCAAAGTAAAAAACTTCACCACTCGGACACCCATACCCAAAATACTCAACTATACATTGAGCTAACTTGGTGCAATCAATCATAATAAATTCTTGTTATGACTACAATAAAAACAGTTAGCATATGTTCAGCATGGTAATGAACTAAATAGAACAGCTTATTATAATATTGAAATCAATAAAAATGGATTTTTAGAAGAAAATAAATAATTTACTTGATAATCCAGTATATCAATTACCCATTGATCTATGTTTTAATGATGATAATAGCAAATTTAATGATCTATGTCATAGTACACTGAGGTGATCTGAGTGCTTTAAGAGTATAACTTAATTTAAATAGAAAAAAAAACATAATGCTATCAAATTCCGCAATAATTGAAGTATTATAGTAGATAACAAGAAATTAATACGGAACCCATATGGATTCAAGCAGGTGGTAAGTAGTACAAACTGATAATATCTCATATAGGTTGTTAATAAACGAGCCTTTCATTATAAAAGCACATCGACCACAATTGCATCCTATAATACACTCAATACCTATATATAGGAAGCCAGAAGGTATAAAAGAAATATACTTTCCAAGAATTAAAAAATCGATATAAATTATATTGATTCAACTGTATACAATTATAGCTTTATCTATGTTGCTTCCCTCTCGCTATTTCTTTTTACCTACACGATCTTCTCATTCTTATAGCACGTATTAGCTCTTAGATCTTAATATGTCTCTATGTCTCATTCTATTTTCTTTCTATCTCAAAATTTCTTATATCCTTTGATGGAAAAACTGAGTTTGCTATTTTATCACGTTTTATTTGCTGCACATGTTCTCGATAATGGCTGTATACCTGAACATTTGAAATTAAAAACAACATAATTTTTAATGAAAGCTGTAATATTTTATTGGAAAATGATTATGTTTAAAAAATTCTTCATCGCCTATGTATGTTTAATTAGATTTTTACTCTTGATTAGTAGTATGATACAAGGCTATATTAATTAAATAACATAAAAACGCATCAACTGTTCGTTTATGATGTATCCGGTATTATCTAAGCTATCAATATTCTGGTTGTTCAAGAATAGATTTTTCATTGAAGATATATTTCAATGAATTATTTTGCCTTCTTCAGTAAATTAGTTGTGTCCTTATAAACGTACAATATTTTTTTCATTCTCATAAAAATGAATCAATCAATATTGTAATACATTTTCATGGTTTCTCGAAATGTACGTCATTGGTAATTGTAATTTGAACAGAACAATGATTTCATATGATTAGATAGTAATTGTATCTATGCTTGTAGCCATTTTCGCGACGAGCAGTATTGCATTTGATGGAGTGACGCTTTTGTTTATTTCTTCATCTTACTAAAAAAGATTCGATTGTATAATTACATATAAAGCGCACATTTTTATGTGCAAAATAAGTCGAAAGGCCTTATCGTTAGAAATTGGACAAACTAACCATTAAAATAGAAATTCTAACACCCAAATAAGAATTATTCATAAGATTAATAACAAAAATGTTTTCATTAAGGAGATATAGAATGCCCTTGGAAGAGACATTCGGTCTTAACGGACCACAGTTTTCACTATTCTCAGTTCATGTAAAAAGAGTATTTTCTTTGAAATAATTTTATTTATATGTTTGTTATTACTCAAGAAAACCAACTGAAGCAAAATTTCACTTTTTTTCAGAATTTATCTACTCTCTACTTCAAAATAAGGGCTGACGGTGGGGTCCTCCGAGTATTTTGTCGACATTATTAGTGAAGAAAAAACAGTGATCTTATGATCACCCTGGTAGTTTTGATTTACAAATATAGCAACTACAGAATGCGTTACGAGCGCAAAATCAAGGCTATCATGAAGGGTTCATGGCTGAGACGAGCTGGATCCCTTCACTGAAAACGGGAAAAAATATGGGAATTATTTATGGCAACGCAGTTCATCAACAGAACAATCGAAACATCGTTTCGACGATTTCATACGATAGAGTAACGATGTGTCGCGAAGATGCAACTTGAAAAATAGATTTTCTGTCAGTATTCATCAATAAAATAACGTTTCAAAATAAAAAATTGACATTTAAAAAGCTATCAGTCTTAAAAGGCCAATTTTTTCCTCTGACAATTACTCAGATTTGTCTTTACTCTTTTTTTATGATTCACCAGATCGTTTGAGTCGCAACAACTAAAACAAATATTGTGCATGCACTCATATTGCGTGTTCTATTCAAATTTTCTTGTTTTCCCTCGGAAGGGACATACGGCTTTTAAGGATTAAGCTAATGAAACGATAAAAGTTGTAAGCATCAATAGAAAAGTACAAGTAAGGTTGAAGACTGAGAGTAATAATTGTGAATAAGATAATGATAGAGTAGAATGCATGTCATCTTTAGAATTTATAGGCGTTCTTTTCAATCATCTATCATACAACGCAATTTTCGGTATAAATCCATTTTGTTTTGTTTTATTTTAGACAAGGATTTGAANTATTTCTTTTTACCTACACGATCTTCTCATTCTTATAGCACGTATTAGCTCTTAGATCTTAATATGTCTCTATGTCTCATTCTATTTTCTTTCTATCTCAAAATTTCTTATATCCTTTGATAAAAAAATTGAGTTTATTGGAAAATAATTATGTTGCAAAAATTCTTCATCGCCTATGTATGTTTAATTAGATTTTTACTCTTGAGTTTGTTAAATATTTCTCTAGCGTTCGTTTTTTTTTATTAAAGTTGAACATTTTCTAAAATTGTATAAAGTGTTACTTAGAACTACCATTCATCAACTATCGCTCATCGCCTTCATTTAATTAGTAGTATGATACAAGGCTATATTAATTAAATAACATAAAAAAGCATCAACTGTTCGTTTATGATGTATCCGTTATTATCTAAGCGTTCCCCATTCTAGTTTTTCAAGAATAGATTTTCATTGAAGATATATTTCAATGAATTATTCTGCCTTTGTCAGTAAATTCGTTGTGTTCTTATAAACGTACAATATTTTTTTCATTCTCATAAAATTGAATCAATCAATATTGTAATACATTTTCATGGTTTCTCGAAATAACAAAACAATGATTTAATATGGTTAAATAGTAATTGTATCTATGCTTGTAGCCATTTTCGCGACGTGGAGTATTGGAGTTGATGGGGTGACGCTTTAGTTTATTTCTTCATATTACTAAAAAAGACTCGATTGTATACGTATAAAGCGCACATTTTCATATGTAACAGAGAGTGTTAAGCTAATGAAACGAACGACAAAAGTTGTAAGCATCAATAGAAAAGCACAAGTAAGGGCGAAGACTGAGAGTAATAATTGTGAATAGGATAATGATAGAGTAGAATGCATGTCATCTTTAGAATTTATAGGCGTTCTTTTCAATCATCTATCATACAACGCAATTTTCGGTATAAATCCATTTTGTTTTATTTTATTTTAGACAAGGATTTGAAAAACAGACATAAAAATAGCTGCATATACAGTAATATCGAATTACTTGTTTGCTTTTGATTTAGTAGAATTTTGTTTCGTTTCACTACTTTTGGTCTTTTGCAAATCGTTTTCGTAACGAATTAGTTGTATAAAAAAGCCATCATTCGGTAGAGCAATATGTCGTCGTGCAACTAGGTAAGCATATGCTTTATGAACAGTATGATAATGATACCTAAATAATAATAAATTCAACATTCACATTGAAAACTAAATGAAAATGATCCTATTACTTCATCAGATAACCGAGAACAATTGATGAAGAACGTGAGATGCCCATTTGACAATGAACCAGAACTCGTTCGTTCTTATTCTTGCATGCATGTAAAAAATCATTTGTTTGATCAAAATATTTACGAATATTGTAATCAGGCGAATCTTTTGCATTGATCCATAAGATATTATAAGTGTCAAACATGTCTTTTCCCAACGGAAAATCGCATATACTAATAATATGTCGAATACCGCAATTAGTTAATAACTTTGTGTTTCTTGCATGCTCGTAATCTCCATGATAGAGAAAGTCATCGATAATCATAGACGGAAGAAGAAAATTTTGGTCGTCTGTTTTCAAAAGTCGTTCCTGTGGTATAAGTTTAAACAGAGTTTTTAAATAATTAATTTCTTGGCTTGTCGCGTGCATATCACGTTTTAGCATATCGAACACATGCTCGTATGTAAACTCATCGCTAGCCATGTTTCTCTTCTAAATAGATTAGAAGCAATCTAAAAGGCAGCAAAACAGGTATTCGAGAGTATAAATACCTGTAGATTCTACTGAAACATCGTGGTCAGATTCTTAAAGATTTCAGAACTCAAACAATGATTAAAAAGAGTCCAAGGAATGCCGAACCACTCCTGCGATAAAACATCGCCGCATCCATATCGACGTTTGCATTTATCCACACCCACAAAGCCTCCGAATTGAAATTAACAAATATGAATATACAATGTTGTGCAATGTGCGTTTTTGTTCGTGTTTTACATTCACCAATAAAATCTCAATGCCTATGGAGGCTCACCAAAAACTTCTTCAAACGAAGAATTCGTATATATTTTGTAGTAGTATTGAATCTTGAGTGTGCGAGTGTGAGCGTTCCAAATTGATATTTATGTTTAATATGAACCTGATTCATACGCCGATATTTCACATTCACTCTATTTTTCGTGTTAACCACAGTTACCTTTTACGATGGGAACATCTTTTGTGAAACACAATCTGAAAGGAGTGTTGATGTATATAGGGTAGAAATTTGAACCCCCCCCCCTCACAGACCGGGGCAGAGAAATTAATTAATTAATTAATTTCTCTGCCCTGGTCTGTGATGGTCTCTAGAGACTCCGTACACCATAATACAGACCATCACAGACCGTGGTAGACGGATTCCAGAAAAGGAGCTTTATCGTGTTTCACATTTTAACCCCACAGGGATCGCGCTAACAGCTTTTATAAGTTGTATGCAAGCAAGATCCATTTCGATATTAGTAATGAGAATGAGAAAGATAAACTAGAAAATTGCCGAATGGTGATAAAATAGCATGAACTATATATTAGCAACATGCCGAATTGTTGTTCATCAAATGACACGAAAATTGCTGAGCATCTGAGATTTCTCGCTTTCCGTCATGAATCAAAATAGGATCGAAAAGATGAGGCAATTCTTGAGCTGCAATTACAACAGTTTATATCTGGAATTTTTGGACTTTATTCAAACATCGAAAGTATAATTACTGTGATTCTCTTCAGTCAGTATTAAAATATAAATTAGGAAAACATGACTACATCCCAAAAATATGTTGCTACTAATCTATCAACGAAGGTTTTGTCTAGGTTACCGGTGTGATTGAAGTTGTTTACATGTTTCTCTATTCCATCTTGCATGTAGTATCGTTTTCTCTTTCTCGTACGCGTTCTTGGAGAGTAAAATGAAGCGTGCATTATTATTTTGATCAACAACACTTTTCATCTACGTTGTGCAATAACCAGGTGATGCAATATTTCAGCATGTGTGCGCATAGAATAAAATGATTCTTTTTTCTTCTTCTTCACTATCAACATTCTAATCATGAATACTACTATTGATTCTAGTCTTTTATCAACACAATTTACAGAAAATCTACTTTCAACTGCGAATGTAGAAGAGCTACGAGCAAAAAATCAAGACAAAGAAGTCATTGAATCTATTTATTCATATTGGTTTGGTGAAAATATTGATACGTGGTCGAAAACTTATCCATTAAAAACAAAATTATGGTTTAAAGCTGATAAAAAAATTGATCAAGAGATCAAAGAGAAATTTGAAAAATTCTTAATTGATGCTACAACTGAAAATAGCAAACTCTGTGAACGTTGGCAAACAACGTCTCGAGGCAAACTCATATTAATTATTCTATTCGATCAGTTCTCTCGAAATATTTATCGTGGTACTCGAAAAATGTTTGAATATGATCATTTTGCTCTTAAAATAGCACTTGAAATTATCGATGATTCAACGCATGTAACAGCATATAGTTTGCCTGAACGTCTGTTTCTCTATCTTCCACTTGTTCATTCGGAAAGTCTCATCTATACAGCAAAAGGTGCTGATCTAATGAATGATCTTGCATTACAAGTAACACAACGTAATTTACGTAAACGATATGTTACAAATGCGCTATCAGCTAAAACTCATCAACAAATCATTGAACAATTCGGTCGTTATCCACATAGAAATAAGCTTCTTGGACGTGAATCAACTGAAGACGAAGAAAAATATTTAAAAACAACACATAACGACTTTGTATTATCAGTTCAGTCATTGAAATCCGTAGCAGTAGAACCTATCGATAAAAATGAAACAGCAAGTCCAATACAATCAGATCGTCCTCTTCTTAAGATACTTGTTCTGCATGGTTTTCGTCAGAATGCCAATAGTTTGAAACGTAGTGGAAAGAACCTCTTTAAATCATTGAAAGATGTAGCAACATTTACATTCGCCAATGCTCCATTACCTTATAATTCAATGAATGAAGGGAAAGAAGAATTGTCAGCGGCTTTCGGTGATGAAAACTCACCGGAAACAAGTTATCAACGTATATGGTGGAATTCTTCGGCAGATAGTAAAACTTATCATCATTTAGATGTTTCGTTACACTACATTGATAAATTATTTCAATCTGAAGGTCCATTCGATGGGATAATTGGTTTTTCAGTATGTAGCATATTTTTATTTTTGAAGAATTTTCTCAATGTTCCTCATGGTATCTTTTATTTAGCAAGGAGCTTCATTATGTGCTATTTTATGTGCATTACAACCTTTTGGAAATATTTCTTTTGATTTTTCTATATTAATTTCTGGTTTTACTCCTCGAGCGGCTTGTTATGAACATTTAATGCAACCGAATTCAATAAAAAATCAACCATCTATACATATTTATGGCGTAAACGATGCTTTAGTTGATAATGATAGAACAATAGAATTAGCAGCCATTTTTGAAAATCCTCTAGTTCTATCACATCCTGGTGGACATTTTACACCCAATGCATGGCCAAATACTAGAATTAAACAGTTTCTAATCGCACAACAAGAACGCTTAACACATAAACAAGGTGCAACAATAAATAATGATATAAATCAATTCGAAGCATTGATTACATTTGAGGAAAAACTGAAAGCTACAATATTCAATCATCAAAAACGTATTTCAAATTTACCCACAACTGAACGAAAAAATAATAAACTACCTATTATTCCTATTGGTCTATCAAAACCAATTGATCAACAAAACATCGAAATTATTATTGAGCATATCGATGATTATCTACTCGACGATGTTATTTTACTTGTCTGGTGTGAGCGAACAACGTTTTACAATAGTGAACCCAAAGAAGATAACGACAAATGTGCAACATCATTATTTTTTCGACATTGGATATTAGTGTATTTGAAAAAACCCGATGAACTACTTTCTTCTCATTTCCATGCAATTTTAAAATATGGTGGCTGGGGAGATTTAAAGACATTATATATAACTACTGATCAAATGTTAAGTGAGTTTGCACAAGAAAAAACGCTGCTAGATAATTTGAAAGCAACCTGTGTGAAAGTATTTGGTGATCAACTAAAACATGATTATCGCGTTGTTTTAAATCAACCAGATGAATCTGAAAATGATAGGGAACAAGAAAATTCTATTCAAAATCAAGAATGGATTGGCAATTGTGCTAAAGAAGCTCCGCGAATATCGAATACTCCTACGAATTCATGTACAAGTAAGTATTTCATATTTCTTACATTCTCGGCGTATGACTTGTTCTTTCATTTAGTTATGGCAAAAGATATCGCCAAATATATGCAGCCTATTGTCAATGCTGATAATAAAAGTGAAAAACAGTTCAATGCCGATAAAGGTTATTCATATCAAACTTACAAAAGACTTATTTCATCTATTTGTCATGTATTGGAAAAAGCGTCACCAAATTTCGTTGCTGAACAAATGAAAACAAGAAATCGAAAAGATCGAGCCTTCCAATATACAAAAGAACAACGAGAACAATTATTGAAAGCTCCGCCATCATCCTACATAACCAATCCTGAACCTGAACCAGGTAAAGAAATTCTTCACTCATTTGGATCGTTCAAATTTTGTCTTTTTAGTTGTACCATGTTCTCTAGAAGAATTAGAACCACTGCTGGAACATTTGAAATTAAACAGACCTGGACCGCATGATGATAAACAGTCTATTGTTTTCTCACGTGGTACGATTATGTCTGGTGGACGATTAGATTTGTGTAAGCAGGTTGTTGGCCCGCAAGGTATACAACCATTACTTAATGCAATGAAACAAAGTTCAGTAATTAATCGATTGCTATTGGGTAATTTTGATTGATACATATACAATAATCTTTTATATCATTTGAATTTTAGGAAATAATATTGTTGGTCTTCCTGGAGCACAAGCTATTTCTCAATATATTCGTTGTAATACCGACTCAAATATTGATACATGGTACATTGCTGGTAATCATTTCGATAGTGAATGTATATCGCTTATATGTGATGCATTAGCAACTGATACTAAAGTTAAAGCACTTTGGTTAAAAAGAAATCCAATTTTAGCTAGTGGAATCGTGCATATTGCTCAAATGTTAGCCACTAATCAATATTTACAAACATTAGATTTATTGAATACGGGTCTATTAGATGAAGGCTGTGAAATATTATTTAATGCTTTTAAATCAAATCATAATTTAAAGCATCTGTATATGGATACTAATGGTCTAACCGTAAAAAGTGGTCACATTATACGTTTACATTTTGAACAAAATGATAATCATTTAGAAAGTCTTTACTTATCATGTAATGCTCTTGGTGATGCAGGTAGTTGTGAAATAGCTTCTGGTTTAAAACATGATAAGCGTTTAAAACGACTTGGTTTGGCATCGAATTGTATTGGTGTGGAGGGCGCACGAGCTTTAGTCGATGCACTTGTCGATCATGCATCACTGCAGCAATTAAATCTTGGCTATATGAAAGCTACAATCTTGCTTGGCGGTTTAGATAATGTCATCGGAGATGAAGGTGCAACAGAAATTAGCAGATTAATTCGATTAAATAAACAGATTCGTTCGATTGATCTTACATTTAACGGTATTTCGCAAAAAGGTTTGATTGAATTACGAGACGCATTGAAACAAAATCGAACACTGACAACATTAAAAATTCTACAATTTGGACAGACACACGACGGAATAACAAAGGAAGAAATATATAACATAATTGAGCAAAATAAAACCGAATGGGGAAAACAAATACTTGACCATAATAGAACGGATAGTTCGCCATTATCACAATCCAAATGTTTAGAAAAAGGTCAACAATTGAATGATGATATCAATTTTCCTGAACATGTTATGGAAATAATTAGTTATTACAGAACACATTAAATATATATCATCATGAATCTATTTTTTCTATTTTAAAAATATAACCTAAACTATTGAAGGAAATAAAATGTACTAAAAAACAACATCATTCGAATCATATTATAAATAAATTTTTTTACGTGTACTGATAATTTTTAGGGGTGTCGGTATAAGGTTTGTGTATGGTTGCTGAGAAGACTAAGCATCACACCCACACCCACACCCCTTACTCGTGTTTCATATTTTAGTGTCGTTGGTGGCACGAGGGTGTGGGTGTGAAGAGATAGAAGAGTCCAATTCTTAAATAGTCCCACACACCGACACCTACCCACACCCTCTAGTTAAATAACACTAGTCGATAAAAAGGTGAAATGAAAAAAGGAGGAAGTTTGCAAAGTTTCGATAATTTGTCAAAGGAACTTGTCATAAGTGTTCTCGAATCCGAATAGGTTTTTAGAATTTCTATTTTTTTTATGCTAGTCATCTCAAAAGATAAGTTAAAAATCTTACAAGAATATTCGAATATATTTTCTTTATATAATCACAAAATCTCAATTTTTTTATTGTTTGGATACTAATGGTCTTTATGTCTGTTTAAATTGTGATCGGTATATTCCTATAGTGCGAACAAAGCAGATTGGCTTCTACACACACAAAATTTTCATAAAGCTGAATTTGTTGAATTAAAAGAAGTTGACTCGTGCGTGTAGTAGTATTAAAGCTGATGATGATGTGGCAGAGTTGGAACCGGTCCGGTCCGACCGGTTGAAAAACGTTTTTAGACCGGTAAAAGCCGGTAACATTGATCTACATATTAGATCATTTACTGTCGTTAACAGGAGAAATCTGAAAAAACACCTATTTCCCTACTTTTGGTTCACGTTTTCATTAATCTTCAGAAAGAAATATGATGCAATAGGCGTCGATACCAATAAAGGTTCTAAAATAAACACATGTGCTGTTTCTCTCTAGAGGAAAAACAGCTATGGACCCAACACGCGTTTGTCAATCTGCCAGTATTGAATTTTTTACTTAAGTTTTAGAGAAAAAATTAATTTTTATAGATAACAGTCAGGCCTTAAACCTAATTTAAAAGAAAGTATCAGGGACATGAGTTGGGCAGTTTATCGCAAACAATACTGTTTCAATTGTGTTGTTCAGTTAATGAAATATATCTCAACTAAAAAAATAAGAAAGTTTCGAGATACTGAAGAAAATAAAACTATTAGTTTCTAAAAACAATACGATTATTTTGATAATTACATCTAAACTTTCTGTCCACATGTTTTATTAAAAATGATTCCATGTTAGGAAAATTATAAAATTCAATTTTTCACGTAACCCTGAGGGGGACCAAGGGTAACCTTTTCGACTTAAAAATTGCTTTAGACCGGTAAAAACCGGTGGAGACCGGTCGGTCTAACCATTTCAACCGGACCGGTTCCAACTCTGCCGTATTACGGGCAAATACGGCCTATTTACTGCCGTAAATATACCGTTTTGACATCGTTTACCGTCGATAAACAGACCGTGAACGAGTCCGTTTCGATCAACCTGGGAATTTACATTTAAGATTAGGTTGTCAATTTCACATGCCAACAATTATGTATGTGTTTCAGTCAACAACTCGAGTACGTAAACTTACTTTCACGGCATCCAAAAGTCTTCATTATACAGTTGTCGATCCACATTTGTGGGAGAGTATTTTGAGCAAGTATTTCCCGGAACTTAAGTGGCTCTGTTTACGACTGTCTTCACACATCAATCATACATCGCTTAATCCAGATTGGCCAGTTGATCTGGACGAGGACACTTGGCAATTAAAATATGAAAAGCAAATCCCCACGGCTGAACATAATTATCACCGGGCTGCGTTCTCAATTATTTAAACACATTTGCTTTTCGTATTTTATCCCTTAACCGTTACTGGAGAATACATTCATCACAGCAATCTTTATGGGAAAAATGAAGGCTAGAATTCGTTAACTCTGTTTTCTGTGTATGTTCTGTATCGACTCCAACATTATGCACTGATTGCGGAGCTCGCTCTACCGGTTCTGATGTTTCATATCAATTATGGTATTCTCTGTTGCATTTTGTCATGTTTAATGTAAATTTCCATCCTGTATATCATTCTTGCATTATCTGTTGCTTCTCAATTAATTGTGACACTTTTATTTTGTCTGTTATTATCTCTCTAGATAATAGTAATAGATAAAAGCACACAGTACATATTGCATATGTATAAACTAATAAAACTCTCTCAACAATTTTGAGGATGTGGATATGGGTATCTATCAGCAACGATCATAATTTTTATGCCATATGACTGTTATCTTCACTGTTTGTTTTTAAAAAACCACAGATAAATTGTAAAGGTCATTTTAGATGCGGACGCAATAACACACATATGATCTCTGTAATAATCTTGACAACAAATATTCGTATAATAATATTCGCATATTTTACTGATTATTGATAATAAAACATCATACACTATTATGTAGTGCGAAAGTTCAATATTCTTCTCATCTATAATATTCGATATTTATTTGTACGAGACTACCGTTGCAATGATGTTAAATCAAATAAACGAAAGTTATTAGGTGCATACATAATAAAATAGGATAATATGCATTTTTATTAGAGTAATTAAGAAAAAATTTTGTTTTTTCTTCATGAGAAAGTATACAATAATAAAGCGTTTATTCATATTTATTAGCCATTTCTATTTTTGAGCCAAGGACCTGTCTGCTGTTTGTGACGTTGAATATCAGCTTCACTTACACAACATAATTTATCTTTGCCACAAACCTCTGTTTGTTTAGAACATTTGTAAGGTGTTTTGCAGCATGTATTACTAATTGTACCACCACATCGACCTTTGTATAAACTACATTGACCTTTTCCTTCTTCTTTCTTGTTGCCCTTTCCAAAAATTCTATTGTGAAATAAATTTAAAATAAAACTTTTCTTTTAAAGATCTTCTATCACTTACGCATTTGTTTGCAATACAAACAAGCAACTAATAATGACGAGTAGAAAATAAATTGTTAAATATTTCATCTTGAATGTAATCTAAAATGTATTTAAAATTTCGTCTTTTCTTGTATTATTTCACCTGGATTCTATGTGCTTATATTGATATACGTCTTTTAGTTTTATGTTATTATGATATATTAGAGCATATGAGACCATTTATCTCTATATATAACCCTAAGAAGAGATACTTATCCACCCACAAATGTCATCAATGAAAATAATAGTATCTTATTGTTTTCGTCACCAATATCTATCGATAACAAACTATCAGCCAGTCTCGCTAAATGATATATATCCTAGATAAAATTTTGCTTTCTCGTTACCATCGATGTTGTTATATCAGCAAAGTAGAATATTATGCGCCTGGAAATGAAAAAAAAAACAAGATAATATATATGTGGCAGGCGAGTTTGGAATAGCTTTTTCTTAATTTTTTTAATAGAATTTTTGTTGAGATCTGCCTTTAGAAAATTTTGTATTGATAATTATTCCTTCCATCTTTTTACAAGGTTTTCATATAAATTCAACTCTCTGTACATTTGTTAAACAATGGGGACATGGGGACATTGAATTTATCTGAGAAAAATAAATTATTTTATTTATACAACTTTTATAAATCAAATATAAAAATGTACTAAACATCCTTGTAATACCATCTGATGATTAATTCAGAGGAGATTAGTTATATTATGACTCATACCGGTAGAATTTAAATAAAACAAAAATTTTATTATTATTATTATACATAAAGCACAAGGTAATCATTTACCTATAATTTCTTTCATTCATTCGATTCAATTTAATAGTAAAATATTTTTTCCTTTTAAATATATTTTATTTTATGAAACACGAGCAGGGAAAAAAAAGAAATTCAGATAATTTTATTTCGCGCATTCCAATCTCAACTGAAATTCTCATGTCAACTGTGACTCATATATATATATATAGGTCACTAAACACTCAGCTTCTGTGAAATGTATCTACGTAGAAGAAAAGCAATCAAAAATATTTTTATCATATCACATTCATCTGGATTATTTTATTCGTATTTTATATTGAACTTTTAGCAGAGCTACTAATGTTTTGACGCAATAGTCAGTAAACAATCTCACAAATGTTTGGATAACATTAGAAATTCAGTAATCAATCGGATGAAACTTAAAACATGATTGGGAAAATGTTGTTTTAAAAACAAAGAGCTAAATAACTTCTGTATTCGGATAGCAGGATTCAATGTAGCAGATGAATGGCAATTCATTATCAAGCAGTGAACAACAAAATACTACAGATGATACCAGTAGGAGTAGTCTCCGGTTTCAATGATCTTGGAACCACCAAACTCTAGTGGAGAGCCAATTGTATTGATATGATTCGATAGGTTAGATCACACTGTTTATTTTCTAGAATCTTGTTCCTCTCATCTTCTATAAATACTCTTCATAAGCGATATGTCGGTGTTTTATATCATATGATGCTACTCGTATGCTATTTATTCAAATAGAAAACATAGAACTAATATTAGAATAGAATTAAATCAATTATTTACATATGAAAGTTATCTAAGAACAACGCAAGTGAACTGATTTGATAAAACAAGTTCCGCAATTGAATAGATCAACGATAAAGAAAAATTCTGGTTTATATGAATGCTTTCAATCTTGTCACCAAACATGGAAACAATATTCAAAACGATGTACATCACGAGCNATAATACATGAGTGTATGAACAAAACCATTTAATAGCATTCCACTTTTTTCTCCACCAGGGAAATTCATCACACATAGAAATAATAAAAATGTTGTTGCATGATGATAAATATGGAGAAATCCAATTTTTTTCAAAGACTGTCCTTTTGATATTAGAATAGCTGTATCGAACCATTCCCATATTTTCGAAATGGTAAACGTCATCGATACTATACGAAGCCAAGGAGGTATTGGAAAACAAAGATAATTTGACCAATTTGTCATTTCTTTTGCTTTTGTTACATAGAATAAAGTAATACTAAACGAAAATAACGAATATATGAATAATAGTACATGATGAATTTTTCCTAATAAATGTTGAACTTTCGATGATAACATTGATGTTAACAATGGAAAAACAATACTAATGAGGAATAAATATAATAAGCAAGATCCAAAACTTATAATATAAGTCCATGGTGGATAGATATGAAATATAATATCCGTATATGGAATTTCGATTTCAGTATGTTCAAAACGAAATGAATATAACGATGTATTGGACATGATTTAATGATGCCGAAAATGGATGATGGATGATGAATATTGTCCACACGATTTCTAAGCCTATGAATACGAAAGACGAAGAAAAAATAACTATGGTTATGGCGATGAGGAAGAAAGAAAGAAAGAAAGAAAATAGCGATAAAACTAGTTTGCACTTAGTTCAGTGGTTGCAATCTATATTATTTCTCTTTTCTCTTTGTGTGCACACATTTTCTCTAGTTAAAACAAGGCCAGCTACTTTTACCACGGACATTCATAAGAAATTTAACGAATTCTATATTCGGATTCTTGAAAGTTTGATCAATAGTTAATAGCATCAGATCAAATTTCTATGCATTTTCTTGTCTTGTATCGCGTCGGTTAGTGAAGCACGTTTTATTTTTATTTTCAGCATTTTATACAAAAAGAAACCCGGAAGTAATCGTACTTCTTTCAAGTGCTGATCGATGAAACTAAATTTTATATATGGTAAAATTTAATGGCTGATCATGCCATGGAAGATCGAAATAATTCGAATTTAGCAATGCTATTTATTTTTCTTGTCTTTAGTTTGATATAGTTAGATTAAGATTTATTAGTTCTGAATTATTGAAGGCATTAAAAATGTTGTCATTTCATAGAGCATCTTTGGAAACCAATGAATACCAATCGTTTTATCCGATTGTTTTGTTTCTCCAAATAAACTATACCACCAGCGCATAGGTGCTAATGCAAGATGAGCTAAATAATGATTGTTGATTGTCGCATAGCATGAAACTGCAATATTATTAACAATCAATGTGCCTTGTTGCGTCAATGGAGCGACATATCCTTGTTTAACAATATCGGCTACATTCGAAATGGTTTCAGTCATTAATAAACCATTGTCATTCATGACATAGATATTCATACCAACACGAATATTCTTTGCCATAATATAACCATGAATATCAGTAGGTAGTAGATGAGATGAAGTAAGTGATAGTTGCCGACCGGAAACCGTAGTTAATTGCTTGAATACAGCTGAAAAATGCAATTTGAAGATAAATACAAGAGAGAGACAGAAAAACAAAATCTACCATATTGATCTGGTTGCTGATCGAGCATTGTAATTATACTTGTTGAAATAACTTTACTTGTTTCATCATCATAAGCAAGAACTTTATCACCTGATTCTAGCTCGATGATTCTTTTTTGTTCTCCACCAACTAAAGTGACGAGAGAATCGGCAGCAAAACAACGTTGCGTGGTGATGAACATAGCCTCTGTAAGAAAATTCAATAATCTATTGGCCCGAAAAAAATCAAAATAATATGAATAGAACAGACCTCGAATCGGACATTTTGTATTATTTCTTTCCGGACAACAGTTTTCGGCAAGTTCCTTAGCTTGATTAAGTGCTGCTTTACCCATCTAAAACAGTAGTCACTAAAACATACTGTCAAAAAATGAACAGTCATCTACTTCAGCTGCAACACAATCACCCATTTCGTCATGCAAACATTTTGCGATATCAGCGGCAACTTGACATATAATGGTCACATCTGAAATTAGAAAAATTCTCTTTGTCAGAGTAATTTTACTCATTGTTTCTAGCAACCTTTTACAATAGCTCCATAAAGTGCAGATGTAAAGTACTGAAGACAATTAACAAGTTCTTTTGGATTATCAGTTACTGGACATTCTGCACGTGTCATCGTTACAAATAAACCAATAATAAGAATGAATTTAAAGAATACCTAAAACACATCGAGTAAGTCATAGTTAGCGACAATAATTTGTATTTACCATTTTTGTCATTTCTCGAATAAAAATTTATTAAAATCGTAAACGATCTATATGAGTATCAATTAAGAAATGACTCTTTTCTTTTTTCTTTGATTTTATCAAATCTGCTAGCAATTACAAAATTGACTCAAATTACAAATCTTCAGCGTTTCGCGTAAGAATATCATATTTTTTCATTTCATTTTAAATCATGACAAAAAACCAATCAGATGCTAATGCTTCAATAAAATAAGTTAGACTAAAAACTCATTTGTTAATAGCTTTTTATCTCGACCATAAAAATAAAATTTATCTATCACAGTGCTAGGAGCTATTCTACATCCAGGATCGATTAGAATAAAACTCCGTGAAAAAAATCTGAAACATCATCGGTATTACATACAGAAGTTAGTCGTGTGGAATATTTTTAGATTGTAGCGATGACATACGACTTAAAGTCCTCATGGTTTTAAACACTCGAATACTAGAAGATTCTTCAAAACAAAAATAATTGATAATATGATCGAGTACCGATGCAGATAAGGACCAGTCCAAAGAATGGATTTCAATTGGTATGAACCGTTCTTGAAAATCTTGCGATTATGAAAAAAGAAATAGTATCATCAATGTAACTATTAAGTTCGAGTCGCAAATAAACAAAGTTTCAAGATGTGCGAAATTCGCTCCGATAAAAATTTGACATGCAAGTTCATCTTGTTTATCACAAAATATAAATTTTTATTTTACAAAAAGAAAAAAGAATCAATGAAAAACTATGAATAAATGCATCATATGATCACAGTATAAACGTGTGGACGGAAGCAATAATTTCCACTGTTAAGCATAAATCTAAGACAAAAACAAAAGTCATTTTGTTTTTCTGATTGATCAATAATGTTTCATTACCTTTTCAAAATTTTTATCATAAAGCGAAATTGATTGTTGCGATGATCGATAATGTAAATAAAGAATGCCAATGCTGAATAATGCAGAAATTAAAAAAATACAATCAAACCAACGATGATAAAAATTGAACTGTAAATCACCAAGCCCTTGCGAAATTATTTGTCTACACGAAAAATAAAATAATTATTATTCGAAGGATAAATAGAAAGCAAAATTTTCCTAAATAAATTACCGATACTGTGCTGGCATATTCATTCGAATGAGAAGCACACATGATATAAAATACATGCCCTATGAAAAAGTAACAGTTATGTCGATTTTTTTCTTCGAACAATTAAACTTACCATCAATTGAGCAAGAAATAAGAAAATAACATTTGATGAACGACCACTGGATATAAAGTAAAAAAACTAATAAAAACAAAAAGCGATACTGTCGCATGACAAGGTAATGTTCATTGTTTAATCAAACCTTAGTTAATGTAATTAATAAACCACGAATACTTGTTACAACAATAATACCAATTAATATGAATGATACATATTGAGAACAAAATTGTACATCAAATTCAAAATTAAAATAATGTACGGTTAATTCAATGCCTTTCGTCACTGGGTCAACTAAAAGAATGGGTTTGTTTTCTCAAAAACAGAAATGAAAAAATTTCGATTTACCTTTTCCGACTCGGTTAAAAATAATATTTATAAATGAAATAAAAATTTTCCATATACAATATAATGAAAAAAAATGCCCTAAGACATGAAAATACTGTCCTTGAAATGTTTTCGAATATTCAATACGTTGTTGTATAGCTTGTAGATCAACAAAATCATTGTATAATTGTGAGTAGATTTCTTCGTATGTCGATATATCTTGTTTAATTAAATTGATACTATTATAAGAGGATGTTATTTGATTTGTTAATTGTGATGTCAGACAAGAGTTCCATGTGCGCCGAATAAAATTCCATGGATTGTTCAGTGAATTAAATGAACCTGACATGCTTCTCAGAGAATTTTCAAATTCAATAGATGCAATGCGTTTTTTCTTTAATGCAAGTATTTCCATTACTTGTTTTAAACGTTTTTGTGCGTCAGTTACATCTTTGTCGGTGACAGGCTACATAAAACAAAAACAAAAATGATGAGCGTATGAAATGTCTGACTCTATTTCAATAAAATTTGGAATCTGTTGCAAATATTGCTGATAAGACAAAAGAATAAGTTATATTCGTACCGATTCCAATATGTTCTAGAATAAAGTATGTAGAAATGGTGAGTCTAAGATAACTTGTTTTGTATTTCTCGCGAGATCTATCGAAAGTAAATCTTCCGAAACGATTGAACAAATCAATCCGAAATCTCGAATCTGTCAAAAAAGTCTCGTCAAGACAAACGTCAATGTTTTCAAGCTTACTCTAATAAAATACGTCATATATGTATATGGACAATTGACAGCTAGAAAACGAGAAATAAAACTGTTAAACTTTTTTGTTTTCGTTTATCATAAATTTTCATACCGCCAAATCCACTGAGAATCGCCATGGCTGTAACACCAATGATACCGACTCGACTGATACATTGTTCAATACTGAAAAATTCATTTCGATTCGAAATCGGAAATGGATTACCCAATTTCCAGAACGTATACAAATAAAAGCACCATGCAATCACTGTAAAAACTAGTACAAGACGAAAATCGCGTACTAAAAACACAAAATAAATATCAAGGTCAAATTGAAAAAACATCAAAAATTGTTGTTCTTCTACCGATTTTGATTGAATTTAACAATAAATATGCAATATAAAATGGAATGAGAAAGACAAGTAGAAATAACATCGTAGATAGACCAATGCGCCAATGAAGATATCGTGATCTATATTAATTCAATACATGGTATTCATCAAGAATGAAAATCAATGTAGCAGGAGTGTGTCTCGAGGGTGTAACTGTTTCAACCTTGAAACGATATTTCTTTCTCCTCAGTGAAATGCGAATGATTTATGGTTTGTCAATATTAAAAGAAAAGAATCCATTTAGGACCGGTCTTCAAAATTCAATATATTGATCCCTAACAATCGTGATGAGTTCAAGATAGTCCAACAGCAATAAGAAAAACAAAACATACGTGGATTGTAAGAAACCAAGTATTTCGAATATGATCAATTCGAACATTACGCAACTTAATGCAAACGTAATTACAAATGAAAGAATTACAATTCGATTTTGTACATCATAATTTTCTCTTAGTTGTCCAACAAAAAACTTCCAACCACCAAACAAAAATCCAATCTAAAAATTATTTATCATCAATCAATTAATAATTATAATTAAATAACACAATACATACGATTGATATTGTTAGGATAATCGTATCTGTCAAAAGTGACATGATTAACGAATTAATTCATAGTTTTAATTACGGTTTAGTTCTTGTTTATTATCAATAGAGATGATTGAAATATCTAAAAGTTAATTAAATTAATTTCATGATCATGTTTACATACTATTGATCAGGTGATTAGAATCCGCATTTGGACAAATACGACAGAAAAGATAAACTACAGGTATACAATAGAAATATGAAGTGCCGTGCCGTGCCGTATAGTAGAGTAGCATAACAGCGTATACGTCCTTAGAATTCATCGAATCAAATTATCATTTGAGTTCTATTTGATAAATATTAATAGTAGCTAGCATAGGTCCATATTCTTATCTAAATGTAAAATAATAATATTCCTTTTACGATTCTTTTGTAGATGCCGCTATGTATAAGTCAATGAAAATATATTACCTTATTCTATGTTGACTGAAATCATTTTAAGTTAAATTCAAGTAATCAATCTCTTCGGAATTCTTTTGTGATAGTTGTTCCAATTACGAAGCGGTAACATTATTTAACGAGGGAGGATTTTTAAGCGATAGAAGTTTACCACAAATTGCAATTCACAAGATAATGTTATTATCTTTAGCCAGTCAGATCTACTGCAATCTGAAAAAGAAAAACAAATAATGACCTATGAATACAAAGAATCTTATATTGACTTAGGTATAGTGAATTTTGTTGAAACTTGTCATACTGAAAATTTGCAATTGTAAAATTTTCTACGTTATTTAATTTTACACATACCTGTTTGCACTACGTTTCATTAATAGTCTATATCGGCTAGGATGACGAATAGAAGAGAATACAAAAGAAAAACGTGTTTGAAAGACAAACGTTAGAGAACAAGATAACGAATGAAATCTCTGGCACTCACCAAACTAGAACGAAGATTATGTATACTTATGAGTCACCTGGAAACTCCTGTATATTACACATGGATATTCCAAGCGCTTGTGAATATCTTTGAATTTTCTTTACATTACATACAAATAAACTGTTCTAATGTTAAAAAAAGTAAATTAATTCAATCGTGAAGAGCTTAAGATTAATATTTCTTGATTATTCAAGTTTCTTTTGCTTCTGAAAATCACATTCTTCTCTTCATACAAATAAAACTATATCCTGCAAATGATTTAAGTACTTTCAAAGTAACAGAAAATCAATTATATAATTTGATAATACCGTAATAATTCATAATCAAATAATTCAACTTGCAAAATTATTAAATGTTAACTAATTGAGTATTTATTGCTTCAATCGAAGCTCGTCTTTCTATACGAGATTTAATATGTTTATATTAAATATTTTTATTCGATTTACTGATGTGTGAAGTTCATAGATAGCAAAGTATGTGCTATAATGTGATGACCTTTTACTCTAAATTGACCCTACTTTATCTGTGATGATGAAGGATAAAACAATGTGTTTCATGTTAACTCATCAGAGATAAATATACGATCATACATACTGTTGTCATTTATCACTTGAGAAAAGAGACAGAAAGAATATGAGCACAAATGCCAATCGATGTTTACTAAATGAAGAAATTGATTCCTTGTTGCTGGCATACACATACCAACGACGTTTGCTTGACTGCCTGTTGTGTAAAACAAACAAGCGTCAAAAACTGTCATTTTTTCTCTCTTGTTGTATTATACTCGAATGGAGAAGAGAGAAAGAGAGAGAGCGAGAGAGAGAAGGACAATGAGGATGATAATGATAAATAGTCTAATAACGTAGTTGCTCTTGTTGTAATGATCTTACCAAAATATATTCAACAGATTTTTTTCTCACTTGTCAAGTACAAATGTACAAAGTAATCAACTATATATAACAGTCAAAAATCAATGTCTATCGTAGATTACATGTCCGGAAAAGAAAGGTTTTTCTATAGTTAATTTTTTTGTTCTTCTCTTGTTTTATGATCATCAAATGACTATTTGTCGGAGGCATGCACAGAGCTAATCGTTAGCAATTTAGTTCTACTACATGTCCCATTGGAATTCTAATGAGGAGATTTCATGGTTGCTTGTATAGACATTGATGATTTGTCTTTTTTCCCCCAATAACAACAATAGTAACACAGTTAACAATTGCACAATAATAACATCATCGTAAGCTCATGGTTGAACTTTTTTTTTATCTTCTTTTTGTTTTAATCAATCTCTACACCTGTCTTTTTTGGTTTTATTTTATACTAAAAATGAACTTAGATATGAGTATAGCCGTCTTCTTTCTATTTCTTTAGGCGATCAGCTGCAAAAAACGAAACAAAAGAAGAAAAATGATACCGTTTATTACGAAATTGAAAACATTTCTCTAAGTGAACGTCTCATAAAAATTCATATCCTTTCTTTGTTACATACTCATCTAGAGTGATGAAATAGTGATCATTTACTCACTCTTGTATCCTTCGAGCATTGACGTATGAAAGATATCAGTTTCCACGTATGCATGTGCATCAACACTCAACGATGCATTTTAATCGTGCTATCAATTTTTTGTGTAGTCCATCTGACAGGTGAAGTGATGCGATCAGCAAATGTATACTAACACGAATCATTTTAAAGTCAATATGCAAACAGAATGGCACTGCTCATCGCACAGTCATTTTGATTTTTTTTCTTCTTACAATAGACGTTCACGACAAGCTGATTTATTCGAAATGACTGTCATGTCTGAGAAGATCGATGAGAAAAAGAGCATTCCTTTCACTTAGGAACACGTTTATCTATTGCATGAAGCAAAAAGCGTGACTTATATGTTCTTATTTTTTTTCTGTGTCTAGGAAATTCATATGTTGTCTTTTGAAAAAAGGGTTAACTGCTACTCAGTCAGGTGACACAAACGTTGATACACATCCGGTACAATCCGTTTATGAGTAGCACGCACATACCTGTTAGTAAACGTTGGCTTGTCGTATAGAATAGTTTTATTGTATTTAATTAAATCGCGTGTATTAAAACAATGTCTCACTATAATACTCATCTATATTATAGACGTGGATTGTTCAAAACTGTTTTTCTTTTTCAGATAGTTATCTGAACGAATGAATGAAGCAACCTCTCGCACGTAATCTCATAATCTTGTCTCTCATTCTTAGTTTAATTTCCTTCATACTAAGTTTGATTGCATATTGTTTACCCAATTGGAAATCTGTACAACTACGTTCAACATCGGTGCCAATACCGATCTCAGAAGACAATCCAATCGATCCACTAATTCGTAGTGAAGTTGATAAATACTATGATATACTCTACCGTCGAGGTATTGAATTTTGATTTTAAATTAATTATAAAATATTCTATTCTTGTCTCTAGGTGAAATACATTCGTACGGTTTATTAGCTCGATGCATTGCGGGACGTGAATGTGGTCGAAATCTATTACCATCGTTTGATGAAATTAATTACGGACTTTGTCATAATGTAAAATTTCATCATCAATGTATATTTTCAAATTCATTATTTTCTTTAAAAAAATGCACCTGCCAACGACCGTCCTATATAAGCGTTACTCGTATTTTACTGAATATAATTTTGACTACTCAAATTTTATTTATTTTTGTTAATCTTCTTCGATTATATTGCCATCATTGTCAGACGTCGTCTCTCAGCGATATTCGATTTCGTATTATTGCAATAGTATCAACACTATTTTCTATTGTATTTCTTATTCTTATTATAATACAACAGAATAATAATCGTCGAACTGAACCCTTAGAATTTTTTCATGCAATGCATCATTATTATTCTCGTACGCAAATTTATAAATTTTCCAATGATTTAGAATTAATCATTAAACAAATCAAACAAGATTTGGATATAAATTTAGGTGCATCGTATATATGTATAATATTTACACTAATATTAACATTCGTTTGCTTTCTTATATCAGCAGCAGTTGAAATAAGCCCACGGTCAAAAGTTGATGACGATGAAAAACTCGATGAACACAATACCGTATTAATACAAGCTCCTCCAGTAGAACGTTTTGTACCATTTGAACACATTCAATTTACACGCCAAACGAGAGTTTAGATCTTCGTATAGAAAACGTTTTTTTCTCTGTTTTTTTTTGTATTCACAATTTAGATTAGAATCAGTACGAACGATGGAAATACACACAACTAGACTACGAGCTATGAATGATATATTACAAATTGGAAGTGCAAGTTGTTCTGTAGGAACATCCAATTCTGTTGCTGCATGCTTCGGGAGTTAGTCGAAGCTCGAAATTATCTTATAGGGAATCATGAGACAGTCGAAAATCTATAACTGGTATCATATTCGAGATTAAACCATCCTAAAAGTTTCAGAAGTTTTGAACATTTCAGTGACCAAATACTGTAGTTTCTCTAAGAGATTTATATCCACAACTGTGTTCTATTAGAAATAAGACTAAAGAAGTATATAGCAAACCATGATTTTACTGAATCATTTTCTTTTTCTTTTTAAATGGAATCATATGTTGTTGTGAAATATCTAACTACAGTATCTATAATTGAAGTAATCTATCATAGGAACGACAAGTCATAAGACAGAAAATAATCATGTCATTCATCGAAATAACACGAGCTCGTGATGTACATCGTTTTGAATATTGTTTCCATGTTTGGTGACAAGATTGAAAGCATTCATATAAACCAGAATTTTTCTTTATCGTTGATCTATTCAATTGCGGAACTTGTTTTATCAAATCAGTTCACTTGCGTTGTTCTTAGATAACTTTCATATGTAAATAATTGATTTAATTCTATTCTAATATTAGTTCTATGTTTTCTATTTGAATAAATAGCATACGAGTAGCATCATATGATATAAAACACCGACATATCGCTTATGAAGAGTATTTATAGAAGATGAGAGGAACAAGATTCTAGAAAATAAACAGTGTGATCTAACCTATCGAATCATATCAATACAATTGGCTCTCCACTAGAGTTTGGTGGTTCCAAGATCATTGAAACCGGAGACTACTCCTACTGGTATCATCTGTAGTATTTTGTTGTTCACTGCTTGATAATGAATTGCCATTCATCTGCTACATTGAATCCTGCTATCCGAATACAGAAGTTATTTAGCTCTTTGTTTTTAAAACAACATTTTCCCAATCATGTTTTAAGTTTCATCCGATTGATTACTGAATTTCTAATGTTATCCAAACATTTGTGAGATTGTTTACTGACTATTGCGTCAAAACATTAGTAGCTCTGCTAAAAGTTCAATATAAAATACGAATAAAATAATCCAGATGAATGTGATATGATAAAAATATTTTTGATTGCTTTTCTTCTACGTAGATACATTTCACAGAAGCTGAGTGTTTAGTGACCTATATATATATATATGAGTCACAGTTGACATGAGAATTTCAGTTGAGATTGGAATGCGCGAAATAAAATTATCTGAATTTCTTTTTTTTCCCTGCTCGTGTTTCATAAAATAAAATATATTTAAAAGGAAAAAATATTTTACTATTAAATTGAATCGAATGAATGAAAGAAATTATAGGTAAATGATTACCTTGTGCTTTATGTATAATAATAATAATAAAATTTTTGTTTTATTTAAATTCTACCGGTATGAGTCATAATATAATTAATCTCCTCTGAATTAATCATCAGATGGTATTACAAGGATGTTTAGTACATTTTTATATTTGATTTATAAAAGTTGTATAAATAAAAAAATTTATTTTTCTCAGATAAATTCAATGTCCCCATGTCCCCGTTGTTTAACAAATGTACAGAGAGTTGAATTTATATGAAAACGTTGTAAAAAGATGGAAGGAATAATTATCATTACAAAATTTTCTAAAGGCAGATCTCAACAAAAATTCTATTAAAAAAATTAAGAAAAAGCTATTCCAAACTCAACTAAATTCCAAACTCGCCTGCCACATGTGTATGCTTTTAAGTGAACAGCGCTTAACGAAGACTGAGTTTAAATCGTATCAAAATGAAGAACTCGATTAAAATTGTGATGCACTTTTCATTTCTCTTAAACTTGAATCAATGAACTTCAGTCTCGACATTGAGGGAAAAAAAAATATATATATATAGCGAGAGAGAGAGAGAGAGATAAAGGAGATATCCTGGTACGCCGCCAGTGAACTCAGCAAGCATTCTTCTTACTTCATCGGTAACTAATTTATTTGAATCAAATTTAATCGTCATTAGTTGTGTTAATGAACTCATGTGTCTAAATGCAAATCCTGTAAGTTGACGAGCTGATGACCACATAGATATTTGTCTTAAATTAGTTAATCGTTTACATATTTGATTCATGTGTTTATCTGATAAATTACTCATATCATCCATCACTAAAGTCTAAAAAAAAATAACGAAATTTCAAATAATTTCCTTCCTTATTATTTACTTCAAGTTCACGAAAAGCATCCGACATAGCATCGAATCCCACCGATGTTAATTGTGTGCATCCACTAATATCTAAATGTGCTAATTTACGACAGCCACGTCCATTGATTATATGAAGAAATGCTCGATCCGAAAATAGACGCGAATAAGCAAGACTAAGATATTGTAGAAAATGACAATTACGCGCAAGACTACGAAATGATTGATCAGTCACTTCAGTTTGAGACAAATTCAAATAGAGTAATATATGACAACCAGCTGTTATAATTTTAACGGCTTCATCATTGACTGCTGAACATTCACTTAAATTTAAATCTTGTAGATTTTTACAACTACTAATACCTATGGAATAAAAAAAAAAGACACGAAATAATAAATAGAAGAAAAAACATGCGAATTATTGCTAATTATCGAACGTTTAACATTTCTTTTAGGTTGTATTTCACAAAAAATAGAATTACCAAGGAAAGTTAGACGACCAATACGAGAACATTTTCTTAAATTTAAATGTTGTAAATAAGGTCGAGCTCGTTGTATAAAACGCATTGCAAGTCGATCATCAAGTACATCACTTGTTCGATGTAAATCAAGTTTTGACCAAAGCATCGATGATTGTGTTAACATTTTCCAATTACGACAAACTTGAGCACATCGAGCTAAATCATCAACATCTAAATATGCAAGTATACGAACAGCAGCTTCACGTGTTAGAAGAGATAATTCATCACGTGCTTCTCCATGGCCTTTTTTTAGAAAAATATTAATGGATAATTCGTTTCAAACAATTAAAACTTACTAAGGAAACCATTGAATTGTTGATTTTCTTCACCACGTTCGACACGATCAAAATAATCCCGTGTACGTCGTGCTTGTTGAGCAACAAGATTCCATTCATTTAGAATGATTCGCATTTGATAGGTTTCAGTACAATGATTGATATGACATGCAGCTGCTTTTTGTCGTGCAAGACGATGAGTAACTATATAGAGAAGAACACAAGAAAACAAATTAAAGCACAAGAAAAATGATAACAAACCCCATTGTGACCATTGTCGAAAATAGATATTCAAGGATCGTACACGATAATATTCACTGGCAGCCTGTTCACGTTTTTCTAACCATCGTTTTTGACCTAGCTGTGTTAGATGATAACGAAGCCAAGCTGAAAAAAGTTTTCGTTGAATGTGTAATTTATAATGTTCAATTGCCATTCGTATTTGCCGTTCATTGGGCTCCAATGTATCATCACAAACAGCAAAAACATAGCTCAATGAACTTTCAATATTAAATGGACGATCCACAGGTCGATAGATTTGTGGAATGAAATAATCCCAATTAAGATTGATTTTTGCTGATGGCGGCAAGGAATGTAATTCCATAAGGCAACTAAGTAACCATTCTACAGGATCTTTCGGTTGACAGACAAGTAATGATGATATTAGAGCTTCATGAATTTCAGCAATACGTTGCGAACGTAGATAAAATCGAAGCGACGGTTCAAGTGTCAAAAATAGCTTGAGCAGTGAGGCCATCTTTCTTTTCTTTTTATATTTTGTTATGACAACTGTTGATTGTGGTCGAATTTACTATTTGCTTGAAAGAGACGTAAGAATCAGGGACAAAGAAAAAAAAAAGAAAAATGAGAGAAAATTTTATTTCATTATTATTTGACGTATCAAAAAAAAAACAGAAAAAAGCCGAGAGAAATAAAATTGAAGGAAGCAAAAAGCAATTGTCATCGCATTGACAAAATATAAAACTAATGTTACTCTTTGTTGCTGTTGTTACTATTCACACGATAGAAACCAATAATAGAAGTCAATGCAATAAATTAGTTGTAGTTCATTGAGTTCAAAGATGAGATTAGACTTCAAATGAATCTACCGGGGTATTGAGCTTCAATGTAATTTATCCTTTTAAAAGCGTGGTGGTTCGAAATCGAATGTTTTATTCTTGTGACTTTAAATACAATTATATTGGAATAGAAGTTTTTCATAATGAAAGTAACCGTGAGTGTTTTTCTTTTGTATATCTTCATGATTCATCAGGGTTTGTTTTAGAGAACAGAACGAAAAGAAAAAATATGCAACGGTTCTTGCACAACTTCTATAGAAAACAAAATACATTATAGTTGAATAAGACACGAAAACGGTCGAGCCGCGCTCCCGGGTTTAACTATTCAAACTTACCACATGAGCCTGAAGCATTTGGACGCGGGATTCACGTCTCGCAAGCCCGGGAATAAACCGATACTCGATCATTTTTTATTTTATAAGGCGCTCGAAAAAATTCATACAATTTTGTTTTGTTATCTCTGTGTCTAGGTCTTGTTTAATTCTTCATTGTCATATCATCAAGAATGAGATGTTTTGATAGTTTATCTTTTTTCTTTTCTGAAGGCACCTATTGGATAGAAAAAAGAAGAGACTGGTAGATTCCATATTATCAAAACATAGTTCGACATAATTCAGTTGAAATATTCTCGAAATCACCTATGTAAAAATGCGCATCTTTTTAAAACAGTTTATTGAACAAAAAACAAATGAGAATTAATCTGTAGTTTTTAAATTTGTTGTACTTTTGCTCGTTCTGCACATGAAATAGCTTTTCGTATGATATCTGTACATTTCTCACGTCGTATTAATTTATTATTTTCAAAATGACCTTCATTTCTCGGTAAACCATGTGAACCATCTGTGAATGTTAAAAGACCTAAGCCGCAAATTTTTCCATCTTGAAACTGACCATCATATTTCATACCATCGCAACGCGTAAATACACCTAAACCATGAAATCGTCCTTGTGAAAATTCACCATCATATCTTAAATAGAAAAAATAATATCCGTTAACCAGATTCGTTGCTATTTTTCATTACTTTGAACCATCGGGATATGTAATGCAGCCGAGTCCTGCAAAAAGACCATTTTCAAATCGTCCACGATATTTTGCATGATCGGAAAAAACTAAATGGCCAAGTCCATGCCGTTGGCCATCTTCATTCCAATCACCTTTGAAAATAAACTTGACGGTGTGATTCTTAGTCAAATCGATATTTTTTACCTGTATATTCAGATCCGTCTGGATATCGAAATGTGCCCTGCATACCACTTCAGTTCTCTGCAATTGTAAAAAAAGAAATTATGTTCTTGTTGTTCGATTAAACTGACAACAGAAACGAAAGGAAAGAAACGAAAGGAAAAAAACGACGAAGCATTAAGTATCGTATGAGAAAAGAAAGTATTTGTGTCCATACGCAAACATACATTATCGACAGTTAAATACAAGCCTATGCTGTCTTTTGAGTAGCTAAAGCTCAATACAGAAAAAGAATTGAGTTCAACACTTAACAAGAAATAATCAGATTTTTTTTCATTTCAAAAGAACTTTTTGAGAAGAAACTTTGAAATTATTCCCATGATCGTCCCTCTTGTCTTTGTCACTATATATAACAAGACGAATGAGACCAATATTTGACATTGACCGATAATTGTTTTAATCGAGTCAACAATTGTTCGGTCTGTTTAGTTGAGGATTAATTAAACTTAATAATGATGAGAACAAATGTCATGTTTGTTGATAATGAGATAAAATACCAGAGACATATCCATTCGTGTCATTTTCAATCTTATCAAATTTTACTTTGCCTATGAGAACATGTGTAGCTAAGAGGAAACTTTCCGTAAGATGTTTTCTAATTGTAAGACAAGAAAGAGATCCATTGTTATAGCTCAGTTTACTTTCATCTCATGCGATGAATCTCATTAAACGATAAACTTTTATTGAGAGAAATTTGATCTCATTAGACAAAACTTTGTTGTTAAGAATTCATCGTTATGAGTTATGATCATTTTAGTGAATTATATAACTAAAATCTTGTGTTTCACAGCCAGGGCACCTTCACTAATGGTATTATTATGGTAACATCGAAGTTATTCCAAAGTACCAAATTAAGTTGTTCGCTAATCGAAGACTATTTTATTTATATTTAGTTATGTTTTTTTTTTTGACTGATCATCACTGTTAAATACATGTTGACGAAAAGATGAAGTGGTCCCACCGATGCTAAGCAAATGCTTGCAGATTCTATGGGACATTAACAAACAAGAAAATGATTTAGTCTATCTAAATGTTTGTTGTTGTTGTTGTTGATAATGTTCTTTTCGATATTGTTTTGCATCGAGTTTTTCACGTTCTTTAGCTTGTTTTTTTGTTTTGTATCGATGATTTTGAAACCAAATTTTAACCTAAATAGAACAAAAAACAACATAGGAGAACAATTTTAATTTCAAAAACTCATATGAGCAAACTTGTGTAGGTGTCAATTGAAGAATATTTGCAAGATTTTCACGTTCTGGTGCACTTAAATATTTTTTCTGTTTAAAACGTCGTTCCAATTCATAGATTTGTCCTTGATTAAATAAAATACGGCGTTTACGTTTTTGTGATACAAATGGAAATTGTGCATAAGATGATTTCATCATTTGATCTTGATGATGTCCATAGACACTCGCAGCTAACGCTGCGCTATCAACAGCTGATGATGATCCAGCTAAATATCGAGACACTGAAAGCAAAGCAAAAAGGAATTGAATTATTTCTTTCGCTTTTTCATACTTGCTGCTGGTCCATACCAACATGAACTCGGCGAATATTGTGCAGATGAATTTGCACTATTTTGAAACGAACTACTATAATCATAATATTGATTGTTCGATGGGAAAGCTGCTGTTGATGATGAACCATAATAACCATTGTGTAATGATGATGGTCCAAATGTTGAACTAGAAAGATTAGTTGGTGTTGGATGACTTGACGAATAAACGGACGACGATGATGATGATGAAGCAGCAGCTAAGACTTGTGCCATTTCGATTGAACGTTTATAGGATGCTGAAGCATCGATATCGGATGGTTGAAGAATATCTGTGACACTGAATGGCATGCCAGGATTGTTAGTTAACGTCGAAGGAGGCCCCATTTGTGGAGTCGAGCTGCGTTTGATTTGACTAAAGTTTTTAAAAAATGCAATATTCTTATTTAAATCTATGTTTCTTTTTCAATGAAATTTCTCAATTGTACTCGAAATAGAGTTTAATTATGTAGAAAAATTGTCAAGAGTATTTTTCTCTCACTCTCTCGCTGCTTTTCATCAACTAAAAAATGTAGCAAAAATATAACAGAGAATTTATTCAAGACTTAAAATAAAGTCTCGACGACAATAGTATATATATATATATACATATATATATATATATGTGGAAACTGAATGAACTCTTATTTTTTCATTCGAGGACAGATAAAATGAGATGAGAGTCATTAAAAATTCTTGTGAACTAATGAGGGAAGTCCTTGAATTGATAAATCACTTTTTCAATTGTGACTATGTAATTCATATTCGCCCGACTAAGCTATGAGAATCTTGAGATGAACTCGTCTAGATTTAGCATATAATTACAACTAAAAACATATCTCGCAATTATATAATGAAAACAATAGTGTCGAAGGTAGGTTTTCACGAAAAACAAAAATCTAATCATGGGATGTTTTTGATTATGTCGAAATACTTATAATTGTTCAAAATGGTAAACTAAGAAAGAGTACATACTTGTTAGTGTAGTAAGCAAGAGCGTCAATTTGTTCCTGTTTGGCCATGTCGAATAAAGTGAACAAAAAGTTTTTTTTTTATGAGTGGCTCATTCAATAGAATGACGAGGAGTTCGTGATCGAGGATAAAAAGATATATGATGGCGTATGTGCTTCTTTTCTATTGTCGAGAAGTTAAAGTATTAGCCTTTTACATTATTATTATTATTATTATTATTATTTATCGATTTTTGCACTTTCTCTGTGAGTACCATATGAAAATAAAAATCAGGAATTAGAAATAACAACTCAATGTATATATGTGTATGTGTATATGAACATATAAGTAGATATACAACACTTCAACTAGTGTACAAGAGATGATGATGATGATGTGTTGTTTTTAAGTTAGAGAAAAAAAGAAGAAAAAGAAGCTTTTTATTTCGTCATTTGAAGTTGACGCACTCAAAAATGTCGAAGTGTCTTCTATAATAATGATGATAATGAATATAAGAAGTGCTTTTCTCGACTGGTGTAGCGTCTTTTTTTTCTTCTTCTTGTCGACATCGAGAAGGATTATTAAATTCATAAAAGAGAAAAACCATCGATTTTCCTTTCCCTAGACTTTCTTTCCACCAATCAATATTCATTGAATGTCGCAATCCGATAAATTTCATTGGTAGGATTTGTTTCCGACCAAGATGCAGCTGCACAACAACAATGTACGGAAGATTGTGATTAACATTCGGCATCATTCGCTTATCAATGAAGAAAATTGAATTGCGTCTTTTTCGATAAATATCATATGTCATAACTAAAAGAATATTCCAGAAACCTTTATTTAATTATTATCCATGTCGAATAGTTTTTAAGAATTCTATTTCATACAATATCTAACGAACATCAAACTTGTTATCAATAAAATAAACAACGGAGATTTACTTATCATTTGATAACTCATTGGGAATTACCTATGCGTAAAGAGCTCTTTTTTCACGTCATATTTTTATTTGTTATCTCTATTAAACAAACAGAATGTCTTATTTTAATAGGCACAACATGCCATTGAGTTTTCCTCACTCTCATTCATACATGTGTATATACCCAACAGTATGTGGCCATTGGGTCTAATTGTTTTTCACAAGAGCTAGTGAAAAATCAGTGCATCGTAAAATTTGATGATGACGTCAGCGTAACCAAAAAAATTCTTGCCACCTGAACAATATCTTCATTTGTTCATGCTTGAAACAGCTAGTTAGCTTTATTTTATAGATTGAGAAAGAAAAATAGAATGAGTCGTATTAAGTAAGAAATAATTTTGTAATTAAGCAAAAGTCTGACGTCTAACAAACATCTTTGTAAGATCGGAAGTGAAATTTCCGATAGACCACTAGCCAATCATGAGATGATGGAATGAGAAAGAAAATCATCATCTGACTTACCCCCCGACATATACCCACACGCGCGCTATTTTGTCGAGTGGTACTTATTTGAAAATTCCACAGGCTAGAAAAATCACTAATTACAAATCATTGAATATAGCGATCATTATCCATATTGTTCGATTGTGACATACGCATACATGCAGACGATCGATTTTTATGATTAATTATTAAACATGAATTTTCATTAAAAAAATAAATAAGACAACATTTGTTATTTTTGTTGTTTGTAGCAAGCGGTTTTCTCTGATCTGTTGGATACCACTTTTCTATTTTTCGATCTCCCGTTGTGTGTCACGAGTGGTTTAGTATCGAACTAGACACGTGTATATAACAATTGCATCACTCCATAGGACAACGAATTTATTTAACAAGTAGATACTTGAATGAATTGCTTTTTTCTTCTTCGTCTTTTCCTATTATTATATAACAAATGTTAGAATGAATAAGAAAACCTATCTAACTAGCTTCAATTATCACTGTCTTGTCGTTTTCTCTCTCTCTCTCTCTCCTTCTCTCGTTTTATAATGAAATAAACATATACAATTATGTACATACATTGGCTCATTTAAACAAATCAGATCATCGAGCAACTATCTTAATGTTTGAATATACTTGCATAATCAATTTGTAGTATATGAAAAACTGTGAACAACTACACTAGAATATTTTCAATGCTGATAACGATTTAGTGTGAGTATAAACGAAGTAGCATTAGAATAGGAAGAAAAGAAAATGTGTATATAGGTCTAATTATTGTTTGACTTTTTTACTTTAATTTACTCGGTTGGTTGTGTTTAAAGTGGTTCTTTGTCTTTCGGGTATCATATTATTCCTTTCTTTCTTTCTTTCTTTCTTTCTTTTGTTCAGTCTACTTTTAAGCAAAATGATTGCCATAGGCATTAAAGGTGAATATATATTAAAGAGTGAAAGATGAAGTAAAGAAAAATAAAATATTTCTCTTCTTCTAATGTCATCAAAGTAAATGCACGCGCATTATCAATTATGATTAACACGTGCTAACAAGCATCCAATTGAGAAACAAGCTATTACATCACAATCTTTACTGTCCTATGATTTATTGGAAAGGTCTTTTCTTTTATATATATATATATGCTGAACCAAATATTGACACATGTGATGTGTGTGAAGAGGAACGACATTTTTTTAATATTCTCTTTTGCTTTTTGCTTAGTCGTTGTGCCAACATTTCAGCCACTTATTGTCTCTATCCAGCTGCGTCCATCACTTGAAATTGACATTGAGAGTGGCTTCGCTTGGTCTTCGATGATGACAACGAGAATGATTGAATTTAACATGCAAATAGAAATTAATCATATCGAATAAAAAATTAATGATTCTGAGTTTTTGCTCAATTTTTTTTTCTTCTAAAAAAAACAAATTGGCCATAAACACAAGAAGAATAATTGCACAACAGAAAGAAGAAAAGAAAAGAAAATAGAATAAGGTTTATTATTATTTTTTTCGGTCGTTTATAATTATCGTGGTTCATGTTTAAGTAAATGATGATGTAAATGATGACCATGATGAAGTCGTTGATGTGTTTGACCTGGTATGGGTACTTGAGGTTGAAACATGTTTTGCTGCATCTGCTGCTGCTGCTGCTGTTGTTGTTGTTGTTGTTGTTGCTGTTGTGGATGATGATGATGATGAAGATTGCTTAGAGGTTGTTGTTGTTCATCACCACCACTGTCACTACAATTTGTACCCGGTTTTTCTTTCGAGGCTTTTTTTGTTTTATACCGATGATTTTGAAACCAAATTTTAACTTGTGTTGATGTCAAACTCAATGAATGAGCTAATTGATCTCGATCTTGTGCATTTAAATACCGATTTTTATCAAAACGTTTCTCAAGTTCTAGGACTTGTTGTTGAGTAAATAGAACTCGTCGTTTACGTTTTGGTGTAAATGCAAACGGATGATAGGCAGATTTTAATGGATCAACCATAGATGTAGCCGATTGATACATATCATATTGCGATGATGTTTGTCCAGTTAATAAACGTGACACTAAATTATTTGAAAAATAGATAATAAATAAAATAATTTCAATGAGATATTTTTTTTCAAATTACTTGCAAATCTTGGATCGGCACAATGCGACGGTTGATACCATGAATTTGTTATCGGTGTTGATGTTGACGGGTTTGTATTCGTTGGTTGATCTGTTTGTTGACAGAGATAATCTGAATAAGACCGTGCTTGACTTGAAAAGTACGATGTTGCTGCATCGGAATAGAATGGATATGGTACACCAGTCGATGAAAAATGGCTAGCAAATGAATTTTGATCGAATGTTGAAAAGAATGGATCGTATGTAGCAGAAGAATTTTCCGTCGATGTTGGAAGAGGAGTCGATCGAGACGGTGACGATGAAGAATTATAGGACATTGTTTTTCCTGAAACATCATGATGAATTTTTGAGTATGATCAAATGATTTGTTAGAAGTATGAATAAAAATGAGAAGAGGAGAGAAAAAAGAATGAAGAATTGGCCACTTACCGTATTCGTACGAGCCCGCACAGGATGAGAGATGCTCTGAGGAGGCTCTCAGAAAGCTTTCGAGATCGATTGAAGAGGTTCGACTCCACTCACAACACAGACAAATATGTGCGTATGTATATGTGTTTCTTGTTCGTTCTCACTCGTTTTTTCCCTTTTTTTCGCATACACACAAAAGAGACCTCTTGTCTACGTACTGAGAGAATAATCATGTTCTTTCTCTCTTTTTCACTCTCGTCTATCGTTCTCATGTTTTTTATTGGTTGCAACGACATTTGGTTTCCTATTGGCTAATAGAGACAAGGGGGAACATTAAAAAAAGAAAGAAGAAAGAAACGAACGAAGAAAAAATGCATAAACGAAAGAATCGATACTTATCATCGATTGTAAATCAACAATACACATTGGTGACAATTAATCTTCTCATTCGATTGATTATTTGTGAGAGAGTAGAGAAGGCACTTGAATTAAATCATAAAAAATAAATAAAATTAATTTACACACCACCCTCGGAGATGGAAATTTTCTCTCTCTTTCTCCTTGTTTTGTTGATACAATCAAGTCTAAAGTCAAACAAGTAAACATTTTTCTCCTTAAAATAACACTTGAAAAGATTTTGCTTTCTATCAAGGTATAAAAGAAGCTTTTATTTATATATATTCATATAAGCTAGGTTATTACGCAGAACATAGATTCTAATTTTTGCTTGTTTAGAACAAGAAGAAAAAAAATATAATTACAAATAGAATAGCTTGAGGATACATTTCTATCGGTCTCTTTGTTGCCAATAGTGATATACCACTCGGATTTCCGTGCTATTTTATTTTTTAAACAATATCTATATATAGAAATAATGGAAACAAACGGAAGAGGTATCCATTGAGTGTTTATGCTAGGGTAGTACGTACTTCGTAATTTAGCTGTTAGGCTTGAATTCACAAATATTTCTTCTTTCAACTTAATATAAATAAATGATTTTCTTAGTTCTTAATAATAAGAGAAGTTCTGTTTAATCATCTTTGTTTAAATGAAAAGAACGTGATGTTCATGCAAAACGCAAATACTTCAATCGAAATGCAAAGAGCACTCGGGCTATGTCAAGATGCCTAGTCTGATCCATACTACCACATGAGCTCGAAATGCAGCAGTTTTATACTAGATGAAAGCGACCAGAAAAAAAAGCAAATTTCATTTTTTACAGAGCCGTAAAACAGTGGACTACTCATCGTTTTATTGGCTGTATAGATCAAAAGGATATTGGAGTGCCTTCAAATATCGTTGTACATAACACAGTAAAACTTATTTATTGTCTTAGTGAAAAAAAGAGATATGATTAACACGAAATCGAATGTAAGAATTACTCAAATGAAATCATAGTGTGCACACTAAAGTTTTTTTTTTATGGCTTCTTGTTTTTCCTTCAGACAGAATGATAAGTGTGAAATGAAGAAAAATAAAAAGGAAAGGTGTAATAAATATTACACACTGACTTATCAGAGGATTGTCCTTTTGGACTTATTATACAGCTGATCGTTCAGGGGCTGTCAAAAAATGAATGTTTTTTGAATTTTATGCTTTACCTATAATAAAAATGATTGATTTCTGTAGACAACATCCGCCAAATATTTTGTCTTGAATATTCTTCTATTTGAACAATAAAAAGTATTTTTACGACACAGAAGAACTTTTATGTCTCAATAGCTGATAGAAATTTCATGGTTACTTGCTAGTAACACGTTTTTCAAAGTTACATTTTATTGAAATTACTGTTTCTTTTAGCCATATTGAAAAATAATAAGCACATGTACGCCAGCGGACCTCTTTTATACAATGCCAGCCCTCAGTCTCACATTTTTAAATTCTTTTATTCAAAGTACCCATTCTTCAGTAGAGTCCGGCGTAATCAACAATTTCCCGATTCGTACCAGAAGTTGAGTCCTACCCGACGGGCTCTAGTATGAATTCACAATTTAACCCACTATAAGAGTTCACCACCGAAACAATACATAAATTCGATAGCGACGTATTTTCTCTTCGGTCCTGCAGATCAGTATCTATTTACTATCATTGAAAATACAAAAAATCCTGATGATTTAAAAATACGTCGAACCAAAACTATGTGAATGGTTTTCAGCAGTTAACCATGTTGGGACCTTGGTTTTTTTTAATCAATCGTTTGCGATCGCATGATACTACGTAGAAAGATAGACGGTTATTTTTGTTTTACTGAAATCAATCTATTTAATAAAAAAAAACTTGATTTTTAAAAGTATTGTGATGAATGTAATTTCAGAAGAAAAAAAAAACATTTACTTTATTGGCTAAACGAAAATCGTCCATTTGAAAGATAATATAATGTGAATAGAAAGCAGATGTTTTATTTGATAATATCCGATGTGAAAAGGGTGGGCGAATATCTATATAAAAAATAAAAATAAATCTGCAGTCATTAATCGACTTTACGAGAGTATAGCCATGTTGAAATCCATTGTCTGCTTCTGTTTATTTGCTTTCATATCGGTTAATGCCGCCCAATATGAAGTTAGTTATTTAATTGAATCTTTGTTTTTCTTCAATTCCAATTTTCTATTAGATCACTAAAGAAGGTCTCCAATATTTAGCCAAGGCTAAATTATCTGATTTACCACAATCAGTTCAATTAGCATTAGCTCGTCAGAGTGGACGTGCTGGTGGTGATGCTTCGTAAATAATTCTAATTTTTACTTATTTTTCCCTTTGAAAATCGTTCTGTACTTTTGAAGACATTGGTGTTGTATTAACGAACAGCCCATTACAACAGAAACAAGAACAAAAATTGAACATGGTACACGTGTTGTAACTACAAAGACAAAAGTATTTCGTTTTTTTTTTTGAAAATAATTTCAATGGTTAAAACCAATAAAACTTCATTCAGGTTGGTTATATGGACTGTGGATTTCTTGGTACAATGAAATGCAGTCAATATGTTACAAGTACTCGGTAAGTTAATTACTGCGTTCTATCAGTAATATTCGATTGCTTCTCTTCAGAGCTGAATTGTACACCTTCATTCAAACATATCAAGTTCCCGTTATGTCTGCATGCCAAAGTCATGAAGTTAAATGTTGTTCAAGCTACATCGAAGTATGATTACAAACACATTTTTTTGCTTCTGTTTCATTTTCATATTTATCTATAGGTTGCTGGAAATTGTCATTCGTTTGCTGACTTGATGGCTCATCAAGAACTATTTCAATTTTTATCCGGTAGTGGTTTACTTACATTGTCAGGTGCCATCGGAAAATAAATGATTGGATAAATAAATAAATAAATAAAAATAAATATTTTGATTCGATTGATGAATTTAATCGAATAGAAATAAAATATCTGATGTTAACATGGATCATAATAATTTCGAGAAAACAAAGAAAAAGGAAACAAATCGAATAAACTAGTAAAGAACAATCGAATGATTTAAAATGGTACAAAATGATCAGTAGGGAAAAGTTAGATAGAGAATTTTTTTAAATGATATCGGAAATCAACATAGCACTGAGAAAAAATTCAATACTAACTACAAAACATATCAAATGTAATAATCATTTCAGTGTAATTTACATAAATGTTTCCATCTGCCTTGTCACGTTTTCGAACAACGCTATAGACAACGACCAGACGCTACTCTATTTGTATCCTAGAAAATATGCATGACTATCGTGTGACTGTTGAAAACTATCTTATATTGGTTCATTATAGAGGTTTTATTTATTTTCTAAAAGAATCATGTAAAAATAAAAGTCAATCAAGTATACAACAAAATTTTGATAGACATGTATCATCTTGATTGGTTGATTGCGTTTGAGAACGAGATCGAAATGATCGACTTCCCCATGATAAACTTGATCTTTGTTTATGATTTTGAAGAACTTTTCGGCGAATTCTTGAACTTGTCATTAATAAAATTGGAAAATGTGAACAATGATGAACTATTTCCATGAAATCAAATATAATGACAAGATTATTTGTGGGTATTTGTTCATCAACTGCTATTCCCCAAGCAACCAATATACCAACAGGTAAAGTTAATATAACAAAAGCTATGCTCGACAGAAGCATGTAAAGAAGAATACTTCGTTCTCTCCAATCACTAGTCTTATTTGTCCCTAAGAACCGACGACGTTGATAACTACGACGTCTTAAACCAATAACTAGTATGATATTTGTACAAATAATCACTATTGGTAGAATTACATTATTTAAACCGATATTTTCAATAAGTAATAGATTTGTTAATGAGAATGAAAAACCATATGCATGATAATATGCATTATTACATGTATATACAGTCGGACGGTTAAATAATAAGAAATAACAAAAAGATGCTTCAAATGGCCAGAAGAGAAATGGATGATTATATATTACAACAAATATGATTATGAATAATGTTATAAGACATGCACGATGTCGAGTTATTAACCAACGACGACCGATGGTCCATACTTTTATATTACGTTCAATACCTAGAAAAATAGAAACATGACTTACGAGGGAAGACCACCAAGTGTTCAATAGCTTTTGCGTTGAAACTACATGTTTTATGTAGCTCCCAAGGAGTTATGAATACGCTGAAAATATTTTGGGTGAATAGCTTTTTGTTACGAAAATAGACCATTTTTATGGCATTGCTTTATGATTGCCGTACTCCCCCTCAGGAACATTAGAAAAATTGATTTTCGAATTTTGATTTGAAATTTTATATAACAATAGAGCTCAACGAGAATAGTGTTTTATGAATGTTTTAGGCCATTGAATTTGTCTTTTCTTTTTTTTTTTTTTTTAAAATCTGGTACTTTATTTGAAAGATGTAAAATAAAAATTTCACAATAAATGTGTCTAGTGATAGGAAACGTAGAAAGGCCTGAAACGTTCACAAAAAGTTGTTCTCCTTAGGGCGTCTTTCTATGTAAAGTTTCAAGTTGAAATTCGAAAATCAATTTTTTTAATGTTTCTGAGGGAGACCCCAGGCTCTCACTAAAAACCATACCTTAGAAATGGTCTATTTTCGTAACAATAAGCTATCCGCCTAAAATATTTTCAGTGTATTCATAACTCCTTAGGAGCTACATAATGTAAGCAATTTCAACGCAAAAGCGATTGAACACTTTGTGACCTTCCCTCGTTAGACAGAGTAATTTTGCTTTTCATTAGACGGTTTTCTAACGGCTTATTCTATTGGTAGTTGAAATATAATTATATTTCTCTAAGCTATTGAAATCTTCTTGCTCGTGTGCATCAACTTCTTGAGCAAAAATTTCATACGCTATGAATAAATCTTGAGGTCTGCAAACAATAGGATGTTCTATTGAGATTTATCCTGTTTTAAATGGATGATTCGAAACTACATGCGAGTAAATATGTGTCTTCGGAGAACATATATATATATGTTGAAGATTGAAGAACGGAAAAATCTAATCCTGAATTTAAATTGAGAAGTGAAGAAAAATCAATTGATATACTTCGAATTCGAAATAAAATTACCTAATGCACCAAGAAATCCATATGATATATTTTCACTTGTCATTGTTAAAAACCATGTTATTGAACAAACAAAATAAGGATGTTGAATATAAATAAATAATAGATGAGTAAAGTATTCGGCTATGATTTTAATAATATCCACTATTGATAAAGCAATAATAAATATACCATAAGGTGTTTTGAAAAGAGATTTTGTTCGAATAAAAAGTAAACATGAACAAATATTAAGTATGCAACCGATTATCGATAAAAAGAAACCAATAAAGAGAAAAGATAAAATTATCTTCGAATCAGCAGTAACATGACAGGAATCATTCATTGCGTTTGTTATAATTGTCTACTAAAGAGTCAAGCATATTTATATATATAATAAACTGTAAAAATCAGATGAATAATAGAGTAGTTTTTAGTCTCATTTTTTTTCCACAGGAAATGAATGAAAAGAAAATAGAGTATACAAAATCAGACGATGCTGATTTTCCTATCTGAGGTAGGGGTTGGTTGACGTACCTTAACAAAATCTCGAAAACTCAATAATTTCATTTGATTGTTTCCTTGTCAAATACATTGTTTATCGATCGAGTACAATAAAACTCGCAGAAATGAATACGAAACTAGAGAGTCAAATTGTATTTTGGTTAAAGATCAGTACAGGATAGACAATATTTTTAGAAGAGAAAAACAAAAACTTGACTTGCATTTCTAATGAGATTCGACAATAGAAATAGAAACAATATTTTTAGAATGCGATCGAGTTATATATATATATATACGTTGGATGAACTCTATCGTTCGTTGTGTTTGGACGTCACTAAATCCGTTTTCTTCCGTTTTTAAGTTCTTATTTATGTTGACTTGCAGCATTTAACAACATTAGTTAATTACATTGAACATGACAAATAGATGTTTAGAGAATATAAATATATGCCGACAGTCTAAGAGTAGAGAGAGAGTGGTCGCGGTTCTACGTATTATCGATTGATTAAAATAAATGTTTCACATACAGTAATAATGATCTATTTCTTAATAGTCATTTTGGTTCGATTTACGAAGATTGAATCGATAGAGGAAAAAGTGAAACGTGTTGTATTTAGGTATGCACTGAACCCAAACTACCCGGGTTCGGTCGTACCCGGTATTCGGTCATACCCGGTTTCAGTACTACCCGGATTTCATCATACCCAGATTCGGTACTGGAATTCGAGAGTCTACTTATTCGTGTCCTTCGAAGCATAGAAATGAATAACAAGTAGTACCTATAGATCGATAATAATAAATGATTTTATTTCAAACGTTTATGATCTTTTCCTCAATCTATCATGGATAATCTTATTTATCAGGAAAGTATACAATTAAATGAGCTTTTATGAATATTTCCCTTGGACTCAGCTACCGGAAATCGTCGAATAGTTCTCCTTATTGAAATGATCCGTCTGATAGTCTAAGTAGGGAAATGAGAATTCAAATACTACCAATACCAATACAATTTAGTACTTTTGATATCGATATTAGCATATTAGTATTGATATTGTTAGTAGACTGATGGAAAAAATCATACATTTGCATTTCCGGAAAACTTAATAAGGAGAACCATTCGACGATTTCTTGTAGTTGAGTCCAAGATAAATATTAAGAGAAGCTCATTTAACTGTATTCGTTTCTGATAAATGAGATTAACTATGATAGGTTGAGCAAGGTAAAGGATCGTTGACATGAATTCATCTTTTATCACCTACTATACATCTATAGGTGCTATTTATTATTCATTTCTATTCTTCGAAGGATACGAATAAGTAGATTAGCAAATCCCAGTACCGAATATGGGTATGATGAAACCCGCGTAGTACTGGGTACCGGGTATGACCGAACTCGGATATAACCGAATACCGGGTATGACCGAACCCGGGTAGTACTGACTCGAACTACCCGGTTTATACCCGGGTTCGGTGCATGTCTAGCTGTATTAAACAAGATTTTCATGAGCGAACGTTTATATTTGATTACGTTAAAAGATGCATGACTTGTATTCGTCTTTTTTCATCCTTAAAAAGAAATGTAATCTGATTAATTAATTTTCTAAGGCATTTTCCGCTGAACAAATGAGAATATATTATTATTATTGGCAAAAAATGACCTTCGAATGCCATCCTAGGATTATGATTCGCCTATAAAGTTTGTTTATTCTTGGGGTGATACAGCGAACGACATATATATTTCGTTTTTTGGGAACTCAAACTATAGAAATTCTCAAGTTTTCAAATTTCCCTGGTTCATTTCAATAGAAAAAGTAAAATGTTCTCTTCTCATAGGAATAGCTTGATAGCAAAGAAAAACTTTTCTCATTAGTTTCTGATCGATTGAAAAAATTGATCGAGATGACTGAATTTTCTTCACGAAAAAGAAATAGTCTTACCTAGAAAACTATTACCATCGTTATAACTCGTCTATGAAAACTCTTCTCATTGACGTCAATAATGGTGACAGCAGAAAATTTTTCAAAAAATTGATCTGAATGTAATAGATTAAGAAACGTCCGAACAAAACAATTGAGTTCAATTCAAAATTTTGTATTTTTATGAAACATTGTTTTTTTTGAGAAAAGAAGATTAATTAACAAATAGCAAACTTGTGAAATGCAATCGTAGTTGCAAGTATAGGATGATGTTTTGGCAACTTACCGTGCTTTATTTATCAACAGAGATAAACAAATAGCCAAGCACAAAAAATAAATATCTTGTTTTTGTATTATTGACTACGGCAATTATATGGAAGAAAAAATTTTGGTTCTGTATACATCATAGCTTTTTCATTCAACACCCAACGAGATTAACATTATCGGGAATCATTGGGGTGTTTTACTTTTGTTTTCCCAGTAGAATAAGTGAATGATTCATATTTCAATGAGCGATCCTCTTGAATCAACTAGTAAAAATATTATTAAGAAAAGCAAACTGGAATACATAGAAGTAATTCTATTTAGTGACTGATTGATTCCTTTTCTTTCTCGCTTTGTGTGTAATAATTAGCAGGATTTTCATTTTACTTAAGTTAATTGGTTTCAGCACTGTTTTTAAAATCAATGTGGGAAAAATTTCTCGATCAACCGAAAAAAAACTATGAAGACAACGCATTCTTTATATATTTGCGATAGAAATGTATATATTTTTTTTAACATGAATAATTTATGCATATTCCATTTAGAATGCATCAGAATATCCATTAGTATATTTGAAAATAAAAGATTATGTTTTTCAGTTCATCAGTCGATCAAAAGGAAAAGTAAATGTTTGATGTTGCTGGATAAATCTATGTTGATTGCATATAATTTTGTGAAAGTGCAGGTGGAAAGAAATGTGTAATGCATGAGTATAACACTGCAACAAAGATCATATTTCAAATTTTGAAAATTTTTATTTTATTTCGAGCTTTCGACAATTTCCAATTGTCATCAATAGGAAATAGTAACACAAAAAACAAATGGAACTATTTATATCGATACATAAAAAAGGAATGTACATGTGGTCGTTTATACATCAAAGATCATACATTTACAAATTGAAATACATTTAATAAATACATTTTAATTAATTTTGTGTTACTATTTCCTGATGATGACAATTGGAAATTGTCGAAAGCTCGAAATAAAATACAAATTTTCAAAATTTGAAATATGATCTTTGTTGCAGTGTTATACTCATTCATTACATCTCTATATTGATATCATATTTGCTTCTAAAAATGTAAATATTCAGAGTAAAAAAATTTTAAAAAAATTTTATAATTTACTCTTATAATTTAAATAATTATTTGCATAGATATTTCGAATAACATCAACAACATTCTCTTTGTTTAGGTTCAGAGATGATATATTCATCGTGTTTCTAATGAATTTTAACATATTTTAGAGTTGCGCTATATCAATATTCAAATATTTCATTATGTCATCAACAATACGACGACAATCAACTAAAATGTTTTTGAGAATAAAAATAGGAATATCGTTTTGATTAACGCTTACTTCCATTAAGACGAGCATATTTTTCAAAAAAATGATAGATCTTTCGATTGCAGGTAATTTTTAATACACGCTCCTTTTTTTAGTTTTTGCAGTAGTCGTGTTCATTGTACCAGTATCAGAAACCGTTCTATGGTAGTTAATATTTGATTTTGAACCATTTTCACTTTCACTCGTAGATGATAAATCAGAAATCATCAATATTATTATTGTTGTCACTAAATGATAGTATATCTAAAACGATAACTCCAATATATGCACAATTAAAAGAGGCAAACGCACCACGGTCACCATTGTTCACCGTATTAATTGACGATGTAGCCCCAGGCCGAACAGTCCGGCCTAGAAGCGGTCGGTTCTGGATAGTTCCGTTAATTTTATGAAAGCAGTATTTCGGTTGGAAAATTTTCAGATTTTTTCCGGTGATTTCCGATCAATTCCTGCCGGTAAGCATCGGAACCTGGTAGGAATCCGTCGGAAAAGTCCGGTTGTATTTTTGACC